GTGTAAATAAAGTACCGTGCTTTGAAGGAAACCATTGCAAAAACATGGAAACACATTCAAAGAACACGGGATTTGGGGGACTATCTAGGCGTCGTTGTCTAGCTATTTGAAATTCCGCAGCTTGGAGAGCCTCCAAGGGAGGGAAAAGTGAAAATTCCATAGCTTGGGAAGCTGTCACGGTGGGGAAAAGTGAAAATTCCCTAGCTTGGGAAGCCCCCACGGGGAGGAAAAGTGAAAATTCCCTAGCTTGGGGAGCCCCCACGGGGGGGAAAAGTGAAAATTCCCTAGCTTGGGGAGCCCCCACGGGGGGGAAAAGTGAAAATTCCCTAGCTTGGGAAGCCCCCACGGGGGGAAAATTCCCTAGCTTGGGGAGCCCCCACGGGGGGGAAAAGTGAAAATTCCCTAGCTTGGGGAGCCCCCACGGGGGGGAAAAGTGAAAATTCCCTAGCTTGGGGAGCCCCCACGGGGGGGGAAAGTTAAAATTCTTAGCTTGGGGAGCCCCCACGGGGAAAAACCACCCTTAGCCCCTCTCACGGACCTAAATAAACCTGCGGTGTGGGCGGCCACCCCACGCGAAGCGGGGTAAGGAGTAGTAAGGAGTAGTAAGGAGTAGTAAGGAGTAGTAAGGAGTAGTAAGGAGTAGTAAGGAGTAGTAAGGAGTAGTAAGGAGTAGTAAGGAGTAGTAAGGAGTAGTAAGGAGTAGTAAGGAGTAGTAAGGAGTAGTTAGGAGTAGTTAGGAGTAGTTAGGAGTAGTTAGGAGTAGTTAGGAGTAGTTAGGAGTAGTTAGGAGTAGTTAGGAGTAGTTAGGAGTAGTTAGGAGTAGTTAGGAGTAGTTAGGAGTAGGTAGTAGTAGGTAGTAGTAGTAGTAGTAGTAGTAGTAGTAGTAGTAGTAGTAGTAGTAGTAGTAGTGGTAGTAGTGGTAGTAGTAGTAGTAGTGGTAGTAGTAGTAGTAGTAAGTAGTAAGTAGTAGTATTTTGTATGTGTATTCGTATGTGTATTTGTATTTGTATGTATATTTGTATGTGTATTTGTTGGTGTTGTTGTTGCTGTTGCAGTTGCAGTTGCAGTTGCAGTTGCCGTTGTTTCCCTTTTCATGTTTTCTTTTTTGTGACAAGATTAGTGACTAGTACACCATTGGGAAAAAGTTACGGAGTTGAGGTGAGCTGTGCGGGCTCTGTACAACGCATCGATGAGTTCCTTGACCAGGACCGATTTCATCCCTTGGGATCAAACCTTGAGTATCTACGTCGAGCTGAGCACAGCAAAATTGGATGGTCTACTATAAGAATTTTGACCAATTTTGGGGTCCATTGTCTGCCATGGTTAAATGTGGTACACGGTTTTAAAAAACTTTAAGCCCATGTCATAATCATCATATCCACTTTACGTGGACTTGGACCTTGAACGCATCAACATATCACCCAGTGCAGGAGTCTTTACCTTTGCTGAAGACCAAAGTTGTCCTGGGTGGGTCCAATGGTCGTGAGAGCCCCGTTGCACAGCCTGACTGGGAGAGGCGGTCGGGGCAGAAAAATAGGGAGTATGATGTCAAACCCCAAGTGGTAGAAGTGAGATAGCCCTAATTAGTACACATGCACTTGGGGTTCATATATGGTGACTGTATGTTATTGTATCGTTTTACGGTTATTTGGCTAATTTTGGCTGTTTGTATAATCCATATTTTGCTTAATATACAAGACCTATTTGCAATTTCTACGGCAATTGGTGGGGACAGATCATGGTTGGTGAATGTTTGTGATTATCACCTGCGACCATCAACACATGGTTCCGGTGCAGGCAGATCTCTCCGATGCAGTTTGGAGATCTTGATGTGAGCCTAGACCTCAAGTTGTGTCGCTAGAAGCAGATTGGCAGGTCCTCAGGTAGGTTGTCATGCATTCGGTTGCTGGAGCAAGGTCATCTCTCCTTTCGGTACCCAGAAAGAAATGAGACTCTTGGCTGCAGTGATTATGATCTGAGTCGGAGAGCGTGATAATTCTGGACGCAAATAATGTGTTAGTATGTGCAAAGAAAAGTGACAAGACAACCCCTGAGCCGAAAAAACACGACCAGGTTTGCCATTCGAGACGTGTCCTTCAACATTCCGGCTGGAAAGTTTGTGGCTCTGGTCGGAGGCAGTGGTTGCGGCCTGGGCTCCTAGAGAAACTGCCGATGACCTGCCCTCCTTTGCCAATCAAGTGACATCTTGTGACATCTTGTGACTGTTTCTTGGTCCTTCTTGCATCCCAGTATACATAGTATGACAATGTATGACATAGTATACTTTCCCCTTACTCTCGATGGACTGGAAGTAGTGACATTCAGACTGCACTGCTCAAGATGAACCAGTGAAACTGTGCGTGAGTTGCAAAATCCACAAATGTCCCAAGAAGTCTTTCCGTCCAAATTTCTAGTCTTGCGCTCCAATTCCCTCAGGAATCTCTAAGCCGTTCTCATCTCACGGCATGAATACTCCTCCTGGCAAGCCTCGAGATCCCCCGAGATTCCATCGAAAACGAGAGCTGAGGCAAGTCAACTCTGCTGTCTCTGCTGATGACATGGCTTTGTCCAAGTATCTTGGAGCATGATGGAGCATGGAAGATCGGTCCGGCAACCATCTCTTCTTTGGATCCCCAAAACGATTGGATTCTGCATGACTCTGCCCTGGTGAGTTTCAAAGTGGAAACAAGCGAGAGAACGGCTGGCCCAGTGAAAGACATCCCTTTGACTGCGAGAGGACCTTCCCAACCTTCGACCGATCCATGTGGATAAATGTGGATAAGGGGCTAATTTACCAAGTCTTACACATGTATATAATACAAGATGATACAAGATGTATATGACGTATGCAGTATGACATGATTTACCAAGTTTTTGTAGCGTGATGCATTGTTCTCCACTGTTTGGCTTATTGCCAGAATGGCCCTGCCAAATTGGAGCGATATTGCCTAAGCCTAAGCCATGCAAGGAATGAGCGAATTGAGGTGCTGGCACAATCAGCCTTGGAGAGGAAGTTAGCTTCAATCCGCTCCTAGGAGTGGCCCTGATGGCTGGAGAATTTGCTAGTCGTGGTCATAGAACTAAGTCTGCAATTTGTACCGCAAGATCCGCAAGTGACCAGGAGATTTTCACAAGTCGGCACGGCGCTTACGCAAGAGCATTTCGGTCGTCTTCCAGGACGCTTACGAAGTTTCTATTTTTGAGCTGCACGGCCACCAGGTTGGTTAGTCAGGAAGCACCGCGGCCCTACACAAGTAGTTCCCTGCGAGAATGGTTAATTTTGTAACTTCTCAGTCAGGCTCAGGGTCCTCAATTTTGGTCCAAACACATGGAGTGACGACAATATATAATCATTACACATATATAGTTATATATACTTATATATATACACAGTGTATATATATAATATGTATGATGTATGTGATCATGTGAAAACATCAGCATGAAGTGAAGTCAACTCCGCTCGGCCCGAGACCTGCGCACATGAGGACAAAACTCTTCTTCGGGGCACCGTCCTGGACAATATCCTGATCAGACGCTTGGCAGCAGATGTTGGTACCAGTTGGAGGTTTCCTAAGTCATGGGAAGTACCCAAATATGGATGGTTTATAATGGAAAAGTTGATTTAAATGGGTGATTTTGGGGGTACCCCCATGTATGGAAACTTCCGTTTGTTATAAATGACACTGGTGAATCTTGCCCAGTTGCTGCACATGTTTCCCCTGTTCCACATGCCACAAAGAACTCGTAGTCTCTTCCACGACAAGCATAGATCTGATGTGGCAGAAATCAAGAAGTATCAGCACATGATAGTTTTCCCAATCTTTCCCAATATCTTCTCAAGATTTTCCCAATATCTTCCCAATCTTTTTCCCAATCTTTTTCCCAAGGTTTTCCCAACGTTTTCCCAAGGGGCAAGCATTTGTTCAGACGAATATCTGAGGTGCACCGAGTGGTACCACCCGACAAGATGCTGAATGGGCAGCTGAGTTGGCAGGCTGTGCCGAGTTCATCAGCGGAAGTTTGCCAAAGGCCTATGACACTTGCCAAACCCAAATTGGTTGATTGGTTATTATGAGAAAGTATAGGGGGTTATAGGGGATGATTATAGGTGCCAAAGGCCCATGATTATCCATGATTGCTTATTATAGGGTGATTATAGGGAATTGCGTATAACTACCCATTGTTGGTGATTGTGGGTGATTATTGGTTATTACTATGGTTAAACATGATATGGGACTATGGGGGACTTCACCATTGTTGATTGGTATAGTATTTTCGGTTCTTCAATTATTCGAGTGACCTCACTGTGACCTCACTGGAACCATGGTTGGGGAAAAAGCAAATTTATCCAGATTGTTGATTGGTTATGAAAGGGGGATTGTACTACCTGGTTGAATGTGGGTTGTTACAATCCACAATAGGAACCAACCAGTATTATGAAAATGATATATTATGGGTTTGTCGAAAAATCCCCCAATAGATTATCAGCATTTTCCCCGTTCAAATGATTCCAAATAGCTATTTGGGGTATGCCCCGTTTTCAGACACACCTATATTATGGATGGGTGTGTCCAAAAATAGTTGATTACTCCATATTAATTACCCCCCAATATATATGTCAATTCTGATAGGGCACTCAATATTCTCAATATTAAGCATCAAAATTCGGGGGACCCATGGTCAAAGTGTCAGTTTGCAACGGTTTGCAAGGTTTCACTAGGACAATACGTCCGATACCCCTTTTGGCCCAAAACCGGGCACAGGGCCCTTGAGTCTTAGCGCGCAGCGCCGAAAAGCCGCACTACGGTGCACAACCAACACTGGTAGCGGAGCGGTGCAAGACGGGACCTACGGGTTGCCGCATCCGCCCTACCTCGGGCATAGCCCGGAGGTTCCTCTGAGGTCCTTGGCCTCAGGAGGTCCTCGGTTCCTCTGAGGTCGCCGGCCTCAGGAGGTCCAAGGTTCCTTCGAGGTCACCTGGCCTCAGGAGGTCCAACATGCCGGACAAACGGTCCTGGCACTCTGGCCACGGTCATGGGTCACGACGGCCCGACCGACGAGAGGACCATGGTGGAGACAGCGAGTACACCTACGAGTACCTCGAAGATGAAGAGTCCGAACAAGAGGACGAGCCGAGGCAGGTGCGACCAGCACCTCCGGCAGCTTCCGCCGCGCCGGAACGGAAGCAGTGTATGGATGGGTCACACCGGCCCCCTACGCCTCCGCGGGAGGCGCGTGCGGCGGAGGTTCCACGCACGGTGCCGCGGGAGCCGCCTCCTCCTCCACCAAAGGAGAGGAAGGAAAAGAAGGAGAAAAAGAAGAAGGCGGACTCCAAGAAGGAGCACAAGTCCGAGAAGGACAAAAAGGGCCGTCGCGGTGACCCCCACGACAGGCGTAGCAGGTCAACAGGCCGCCGCCCTGCTGAGGAGCGGTCCACAAGGCGTAGCCGGTCACCGAGCCGCCGCCATGGCCACCGGGAGCCACGGTCGCCGCCGCGATCCCCGGTAGAACTGCGACAGGCGCCGGGACACAATCCTTACCCGGAAGACATGCCGTCAATGAACACCGGTTCCTCGGGAAGTGGCAATGCTGGTGCGTCTGGTGCACTGCCAACACCAGTAAGCCCAACCCATGTTCAGCTCTTGGCCCGGGTGACTGGGTGTGGGTGTCATCCCCTGGGTACTGGGTGTTCGTGCCCCACGAAGTGCCCCACCAGAAGGGTCGCCACCAGTCCCCTGGATGGGAAAGCGAAAAAGGGCGCCACAAAGGGAAGCGGCCCGAGTCCCCGAAGGGCTCGCCGAAAGGCCCTCCAAAAGGCCCGCCTAGAGGAAAAGGCAAAAATCCCCCCAGGAAAAGAATCCAAAGGGAAGGGGAAGAAGGGCAAAGGCAAGGGTCACAAGAGGCGCAAAAACCGGCCTGGCCAACACCAAAGACGAAGGCAAGCCGAAGCAGCAGCACAGACCAGAGCCGAGGGAGGCCCGCGTGGACGGCGCCGCCGATCCGACCGCGGTGGTGGTGACGATGGTCCGCCCCCTGCTGAAGCGGAAGGTGACGGCCGTGATGCCAGAGACATCCCCCGCCCGAGGGAACATGGCCCTGACGGTGGGGATGGTGATGAGCCCAGTGACGATGAGGACGACGACGAAGGCGATCATGAGGGAAGGGCTGAGAGCGAGACCCTGACCCATGACCCCGTCGTCGAGCCATCAGAGCCCGAGACTCTGGATCCAGGAGCGGCAGGTCCACACCGTCCTCCGGCTCCGGGTCCAAGATCACGCGCAAGCACGCCGTTGTTCCCTCCGAGACCCATCGGGAGCCCGCCAGGAAGCTCCCTGGGATCACGAACACGGCCGCGCCCAGCTCCGCCGATCCTACCACCAGGATCAGGCCGACGATCCGCCAGAACTTCCGACAGCCGCGCACCCGCGTCGGTGACGCTGCCTAGCGGGTCTAAGTGGGATCCACGCATGGGTCCGGCCCCGGGCATACGGTGGAAGTCAGGAGCTCCACCAGTGCCGCCGAAGTACACGGCAGACGCGAAGGAAGTGGGATCGTTCGACCGATACTCCCGAAGAGTTCGGCTCTGGGCAAAACGCGCATCCGGCTGGATGACGGACGGAGACGCAGCGCTCCTCCTCGTCGAAAGCCTGAGCGGCGCAGCCGAGCGCGAGCTCGAGTTCACGCCCCTCGTGGAAATCGAGAACGGTGGTGTGGAGTTTGTCCTCCAGCAATTGGAGGCAAGCTCAAAAACGAGCACCTGGTCTACCGCAAGCACCACTACCTTCGACAATGGGAAACTGTTCGACGGAAGGTTGGCGAGACCATGCGTGCCTATATCCACCGGTTCGACCAGTTGCACAAAAGCAACTGAGCCACATCGACGTGGACGTGAAGGCCACCTACAGCGGCGAAGCCCTCGGACATCGCCTTCTGGAAAGAGCTGGTCTGTCCACCGAGCAGGCAAGGATGGTGCTGATCGGATCCGGACAAAGCTTTGCGTACCCGTCCATCTGCGACAGCCTCCTCCTGCAGTACCCGGACACCCTTCCGGTGCCGGCCATTGGCAGTGGGCCAGGCAAAGGGAAAGGGAAGGGTGACAAGAAGGGTGCAAAGCAGGTCCACGTGGCCTCTCACGAGGAAGGCGGAGAGGAGCCGCCAGAAGCCGAAGATGAGGACAAAGAAGTAGCAGAAATAACAGCAGCGATCGACGTCCTGACGGTGACGGCACAGAAGCTGAAAAATATCACCCAAGGACGTCGGTGGACCGACGGAAAAGGAACGTCGAAGGATGGTGACAAGGGATCCACCTCGACCTCAAAAGGGAAGCCCTCCTTCTCCACGAAAGGGACGGGAAAGGGCAAAAGCAAAGGAGACACAGGCAAGAACACCTCGCGGGTCAACGTCTGCGAGACGGCCCAGGACGAGGGCGATGCCGACGACGGATGGGAAGAGGCAAATGACGGAGACGATCACTACGACAACGAAGAGCAAGAGGATGACCAGTACGAGTCGTTCTTCGTCTTCATGACCAGCCATGAGGACACCTCGGTGGTGAACCCCTCTCCACAGGTGTCTCAGGTCCTGGCGGTGGCCCCCCAGTCCGCGGCAGGCCTGATGGTCATAGACACAGCATGTCAAAAGACCTGTGTTGGCCGCGGGACATACCTTGCCCACTGCGACATCCTAAGGTCTTTCGGCCTGCGGTGTCAGTGGACGCCTGAATCAGAGAATTTCCGATTCGGCGCCGGAGGTCCGCAACAGTCCTCCATGCTGGTGGCAATACCAGCTGGGGTGGAAGGAGAAGCGATGGTCATTCTGGCCTCTCTCCTGGACGCCAGCATCCCCCTCCTGGCCTCACTGCGACTGCTGAGCCAGCTGGGTGCTGTGCTAGATCTGCCCAAACAAAGTTGCCGCCTCCACAAGATCGGAGTGACGGTACAACTGGCCAAGACACTTGGTGGCCACTTAGCCTTACGTGTCACCCAGTTCCCCAAGGAGGGAATGCCACGGTCCGCAGACATGTGGCATCACAAACGACAGCCCGGTGTCGAAGTCGTGCTCGACCCTGCAAAAAGCGCCGCCTCCGCTGACGCTGACGCAAGGGGAGAGTCCGAAAGCACCAAGCACATCACACACAACACCGGGATGGCAGAAGGGACTCACGTCCTCGCCGCAGCTGTCTCAGGCTCAAGCTCAGAAGCCCCAAACAGCACCGCATGTGTCGGGAATGCCGCCCGGACACGTCGCGCCCTCGCCTCCGCAATGGCTTGTCAATTGTGGCATGGCGCGAGGTGACGGTGGGTCTCCTGACGTTGCTCCCCCGTTTCCTACGACTGGCCACTCAGTGCCGTCGACTCGGAGTAGAGCCAGTGACCAGCATTCTACGCCGTGGTCTGGCCCCCGAGCTGACGCCGGAGAACTGCACACACCCGAGCAACCTGATGCTCCGGTACGGGAATCGGCACGGCAGGTTCACGAGGTGCGCAATGTGCGGCGCCCGGTGGCGCTGGGACGAAGCCATGGGCTGCTGGCTCTCCTTGTCAGCATCCTCGCGCTCGTCACTGCCACTTCCGAGCCGGGACAATACCTTCCCAGCTGCTACGGCGAGCAAGGCAAAGGCCAAGAACAAGGCGAAGGCCAGGGCAAAGGCGACTTCCGCGAGTTTCCCGACCCGGGATTTCTCGCCGCCGACCCGCACACGCCAAGCTCCACAAGAGTTCGATCTCCAGAGCGTCATGAGCCAAGAACTTCCGGACGACCAGAGCGAAGTATTCGACTGGAACCAGCCCAGCGACTAGGGCTGAAGAAAGGTCAACGGAAGCAGCTCGCTGCACAGGCTCGACGGGCCCATCAGGTCCTCAGCCTGGAGTACGCCATTCTTGGAAGCGAGTTGGCGAAAGCAGCTGACGCCCGGCGGAGAGTAACACATAGTGCCGACTTCCTACAAATGACGCCATGTGAAAGGGGTGAGAACCTCACGTCTGCAGGACTACGCTCCCCACAAGAGCAATGGGACATCGCGACACATCGTGGTCGCAAGCAGTGGGTCGAGTCCTTAATGTATCACAAACCACTTGTGGTCGCGGTCAGACTGGCCGACTCCCCCTCACATGGAACACCGGAAGTGATCAACTCGGTCCTCCGAACTGTTGCGCATCAACAGCGATGCAGCCGATACTGGGTCATCATTGCTCCCAGGACACACCCGGTGTGGAGACACCCAGGCATAAGCCGTTTGGTGACGGAAGGACAACACTTCATCACACGAGCCTCGGAGACCATCGTGTCGAATCACGAGTGGCTCACTCAGGCGTCACCAGATAGTCCCACCGGACTGTCAGAACGGGTACGGAGGATTGCCCGTGAAATGGATCCAATCCGATTCCATACGGAAGCCCCAGAAAGCAGGCGTACTCCTGCCTGTGGGGAGATGGACAGGGTCTCCACGCGGCCCGTCAATCACGAAACATACTACCTTGATTACGTCCAAGACCCCAAGACATGGCAAGAGGTCATGAAAATGGTGGACGACGTCTTCAGGGGAAGTTCCCAGCAGCAGATCACTCTGAGCCCGGGACACGACATCCGGAAACAGGTGGAACTGCTCATCCCATGGCGGGTGGAAAGGATCCAAATCGCCAAAACACCAAGGGCGCGGCGAATGCCAACTGATATCCCATATACCCACAGAGCCAACATCCTACTATTATACAACGACGATGACCTGGCCTTCGAGTCAGAAGACGTCGGGAACGTAGCGTTCCCACGGCAGCGTTTCTCCAAAGGAGTTCGATACGCTATCTGTGTGTATGGGTACGCGCCGCAAGACCCAGATGAGGAACAGCCAGTGTACGATGGTCCGCCTGACGGCCACTCACTGGACGACCCCGAGATTCCTCCTGAGGAGGTCCGCGGGTCCGGTATCACAATGCCAAACTGTAAAGCCCCCCGCGACGTTAAACGCGCGGTAGCGAGGCTTCACGTCAACTTAGGGCATCCGTCCTCGGCCGATCTGATCCGAATGATCTCCCAGCAAGGAACGGTGAATCCCGAGACGATAGCAGCAGCTAAGGCCCTGAACTGCACATCCTGCCTACGGATGAAGAATAACGCGCCACCGAGACCGTCCCGCGTGGTGACAAAGTTCATGGGTCAACTGGGAGACAATATATCCAAATGGACATCTTCTATGCCAGAACGGTGGATGGACAAAACCACCCCATGCTCGGCATCGTGGACGAGGCAACAACCTACAGCAGGTAGCCCGTCTGCCTAACCGAGAGCCGGCATCCGTCTTGAAGGCCTTCAGGGAGGTCTGGGTCCGACCATACGGTATGCCACACAGGATCACAATGGATCAAGACGGTGCGTTCATGGGAGAGTTCTGGACGTACGTGGTCGACCAGGCCACGGAAGCGGACTACGTCCCTCCCGATGCCCACCATCGGCTGGGTAAAGCGGAACGCTGCAATGCCGTCTATCGCGAGATCTTGAATCGAGTCGTGGATGGTATGGCAATTGCCACCACCGACGACATGGAACAAGCGATCGACGCAACAACACATGCTATCAACAGCATGCCCCGGACAAGAGGAAAAGGCCCCAAGAAGAAAGGCGGCTACGTCATTGGTAGACTCGTGACCTTTGACGGTCGCTGCGCCTGGGTTCAGCTGGGGACACAAACGGTCAAGGTGGACCGAAACCAGCTGCGACCGGCGTATGGGTTCGAATCTTGGGCCCCCGACGCAGAAGACATACAAGCGCTAAAAGACGCCGAGGGAAATCTGCTGGACGATAACGTCCAAAGCCTGGAAGGACCACCCCCTCCGGACGACGAACCAGTCGAACCCACAGTCGTCATCCCTCCAACGCCGTCAATGCTGGCACTGCCAGCCCCCTCTACGCCCGCTATGCCATCAACCCCGGCAGCGCCGGCGCCTCATCAGCAGCCATCATCGCCAAGATCCCGCAAGGGTAAGAGGCATACCGAGACGGACGCGCCAGCAAGGGCCTCCGATCAAAAGCGGACGGTCACCCAAGAGGGATGGGACGACGGTCAAATATCAAATTTGATCTGTCACCACGATGATATGGCCTGACTGACGAAGTCGAGCTTCAAGACTTCGGTTGGGACGGAACCGACTGGGAACCTGGCCACCCGGAGCGGCTGGTGAATCTCGCTGAGGTCTTTGCCTCCGAGCACTCGGCTCCCGAACTTCCGTGCGATCAAGAGGACGCCATCGAGGACTCCCACACCTCGTGGCAGGTCTGCTACGTCGGTGACCAAAAGGCCTTGGTCAATACCGAGAAGCTGACTCGGAAGGAGCTGAAAGCGCTCAACAGGGAAGTTCCATGGCGGGAAATAGTCCACCAAGGAGGAAGCGTACTCCGAAAATATGTGGAGTCAGCTCGAAAGGAACACGAGCAATGGCAAGCATGGTCCTCGGTCAGACCTCTCAGCGACCAGGAAGCCAATGCCGTGTTATCCGATCCCGTCCTCAGGACGCGCGTCTTAAAGAGCAGAGCCTGCTATCGGGGCAAAGCGCAGGGACAGGGAGAGCTGAGAGCCAAGTGCCGCGTGGTGGTGTTAGGCCACAGAGAGATCCCGACCTGACCACCATCTCACGCGATGCGCCAACTCCCAGCAGACTGACCGAGCACCTTCTCCTGGTCATCTACATCAGCGGTAGGAACCGCGCGTTCCTTGGCGACAAAAGAGTGTGGCGATTATGGTGTGCAGACGCCACTACCGCATTCCTGCAAGGGACACAGCAGGACGGAGAGAGACCCAACAGGCTCTTCATGCAGAGTCCGCGGGATCCCATTCTGCTACAGGCAGGTGCCTTCCCAGCCACAATGTACGAGATACACGGAAACGTGTACGGGTTGGCAAACGCCCCCCGATTGTGGAGTCTGGAAGTAGGCAAGCGCCTCCTGTCCGCGGGATTCAGGCCACACGCCTTAGATCGCATGTGCTTCTTGCACTACGACAAAGAAGGTCGTCTCGACTGTATCAGTTTGGTGTACGTCGATGACTTCCTCGTCACCTATGCGGACAATTTTGATCTGACCATCACTAACGCACTGTTCAAATGGGGCAGCACATCAGACGACACGGATGTGATCACCTTTAAGGGAAAGCAGCTCCGAACAACCAAGCGGGATGGTAAGTTCGTCCTCCTGGTTACCCAGACCGAATACATCCGGTCACTGGCGCCAGGGAAGGTCACACGACAGAGAGCACGGGGTGACGAACAACTAACTGAGGCAGAGCTGCAGGAATTTCGCAGTTGCTGCGGGGCCCTACAATGGGTCGTGGGACAAACACGTCCAGACGGGTGCGCCACTGTCAGCCTGGCGAACCACGGAAACGAAAGCACCCTCAGCGACCTAAAGACATTGTACGGTCTCATGGAACACTTCCAAAGGACAAGCCAGGACGGCTTGGTCTTTAAGGGCATCCCAATCACCAAGGAGACAGTCTTGGTGACGTACGGGGACTGCTCGTGGGCAAATGCCCAGGACTACAAGTCCCAAGAAGGACTCCTGGTGTGTCTGACGACGCCCGGAGCACTCCAAGGCCCGACAGATGCGGTCATGATCGACTGGAAGTCGACACGGACGCCGCGGGTCGTGAGAAGCACGATGGCTGGTGAAGCTTACGCCGCCGACGATGCTATCGATCGTGGAGTCTACGTCAACCAGTGCCTTTGTGAGTTGATTTTCGGTGCAAACGCGTCACCACTATCCAACCCACAATACCTCAGGCACCTCCACGCCACGGACTGCAAGTCCCTGTTCGACGCAATCATCGCGTCCAACTTCCAGACAGAAGAGAAGAGAGTTGGACTCACGGTTCGGTCTATCCAAGAGACCATCGGACCAAACGACATGCGATGGGTTCCGACCGGCGCCATGCATGCGGACGGTCTTACCAAAATAGCAGATTGGCTACGAGCCCAGTTCCTGGACTGGATCAGGAACCCAACGGTCCAACTCCGATCAGAGGTGTAAGCGTCCTCGATCCGATCTGAAGGTGCGCTACAGCCTCGATCTGTTTCACAACTAATCAGCCCCTGGCACGGCTTTTGGACCAACAAAAAGTTGGGAGTGTCAGTTTGCAACGGTTTGCAAGGTTTCACTAGGACAATACGTCCGATACCCCTTTTGGCCCAAAACCGGGCACAGGGCCCTTGAGTCTTAGCGCGCAGCGCCGAAAAGCCGCACTACGGTGCACAACCAACACAAAGAACCCCCATATGTTTCAACAGTAGAAACAGCTGGAGAAGTGGACCGGAGTGTATCAGTCCTAGGACACAATGCTCGGTGGGGCTGATGGCGTGACTCTGAGTGGTGGACAGGCGAGGATGGTGTCCACTGCACCATTTGTTACGTTGCATCTGAATGCGGCAGCGATCATTAGGTTCAGAGTTTAACTCAAGGTTCGCCAACTATTAGTGTGATTCATTTTCTGATTCATCATCATCATCATCATCAGCATATTTGTTATTATTGATTATGTATCTATTTCTTAGATGATTATTATCACTGCTACTACTGCCATTGGAGATTCAACTCTTTCTGAAGTGACACCCTCGGAGGCACAACGGTTGTGCATAGCGCGTGCACTTTGCCGAAAGCCAGCGCTCCTACTACTCGATGAAGCGACCTCTGCTTTGGACGCTGAAACTTGGGCATGTTTGGGAAAAGGGGGATGGATCATAGCTGGGACATGGCACGTTTGGGGGAATAAACATCCAAATCCTATAGCTACGAGAAGGTACCTAAGGTTTTTCAAGGGTTTTGACTCATAGCCATGGCTGGGTTTGTTTGAAATTAGGGGATGAACGTCCGACGTATGGCATCTTTGATAGGGAAAATTATGATTAACGAGTGGATGGAATGGTTTTTGTCCAACATTTTCAGACAACCCCATATGTTTTGAATTGTCACACAACATGCTACTAGCTATCTTGGCAACAGTGATTTGCGGCACGAGCCAGGCAACCGAGCGACATGTATTGCAGACCATCTCGAGCCTACGGAGTAACCATCCAGAGGCGCTCCTGTAGTGCGGTCACTGGGGAGCGACATGTCTCCATGGTTTTGCTCTGAATTTGATTCCCATCTCCAGCACAGTCATTTGTAGAACTTTGTTGGACACATGAACTTCTTGCGGCTCGCGGAAGTGGTGATAAGTGCCATGGACCTTTTGCCTTCATTGAATCTGGTTTCGATTCGGTTGACAACCTCATAGTAGTGCCATGTAGTGCCAAATGGCGGCGTCAACAAATGCAATCGCCGAGTTGCGGTCAGGAATTCGGCAAGCTTACCATCATCTCGGTAACGCATCATCTTCACACCCTGGAGTACTGCGACATGGTGGTCCACCTAAAAAGTGGTGGTTGCATTGACCGCATAGAGTGCCTTGGTTCAGCATCTAGCGTGTTCTGAAACTTAGGAGCGGTTGATGAAGCAATGACTCAGATGAATCGATTAGTCCATGGCTCTCTTCATTCCATGAAATTCGAGCAGTGAGACAAATATGTGTGCGCAGTGAAGCTTCGAGGGAGTGTAACAAGCCGGCATGAGTCAAGCCATGTCAAACCAAGGAATGGTAAAAAATAGTAAGACCTTCAGACTCTTTACAGTGGCGCGGGCCATGTTTTTCAAAAGCTGTGCCAGAGATTGGGCAAAGTCGAATATTTGAGTAGGGAACCACCGACTTCTGTGGTTTGGACATTGCACAGTGCTCTGGACAGCTTCATGAACTGGCAAAGGAGAGGCGATCCATTTGAACTATAGATATTTTTTATGTTTTTTTCGCAGTTTCGGGAGCCAAGATTAGATCCCTGTTCACTGTGTGCAAATCCGCTAAAATTCAGCCCTCCTTTGCCATTCCATTTCTCGTCACTCAGCTCGCACCAAGTGCGGGCTGACATCGTCGCAAGCCTCATCCACAGGGATTTTGGTCGGAAATTTCAACCTTTCATACCACTCATGTCATGACAATGTGGCACCACGCTGAAATGGATCTGCCATGGCAAGTCATGGCATCACTATGCCTCAACAGGCCGACTTTGACGTGTTTCCATGTGTTTTCGTGTGATTCCACTTTGCTTTTGCTTCCAATGCAGGTCCACTTTTGTCAAATAATAGCTGAGGGATGATTCTTGCGACAAAAAAATGGGTGTGGCTTGGACACTCTTTCAGCCACGTAAGGCCAGCCATGAAGATGCCCCACAGGGCGTTCTTGGCGGCCAAAACCTGCGTTAGCCGACGCACAGTCAAAAAACAACACATCTTTCAGTGCAGTGATCCAGAAACTGAGGAAAGATCTAGCACTGATATATTATGTATTATACAAGCAATCCGTTGATGTTCCACGATGTTGCCGAGCTGCTTTCAAGAAGATGTTGGAGTCAATGTGCGCAGAGAGCCACAAAATCTATGGTACACATTTTTAAAATTTAACTATGCCACATTCTGGATGTTGCCTCCAAGCAAAGTCTGATAGCATCTCCAAATCCCTTCGACGTATATAGAAATTTGTGCACCACCCGGGCTTTCGCCTTGCAGAGGTTGGTTGGGGCGTTGCAGCTTTCGGCGATCTCTACAAGTCCGTCGTCAAGGTTGATGAACGCCTGGATGCAGGGAATTCCCAAGTCATGATTGGACCACCTTCCAGCAAATTTGGATGTAGCAACCACTATGCTTTAGTGTTATTTGGCGATATTTAGCCAACAGAATTGCCAAATTGCCAGCTGTTTACAATCAAATGACACGCTCGCTCACGCAGGCAAAGGAAGGAAAAGATGCCATTGTGACTGGTGGCCCATATGCTTTGCTCCGTTGCGGCCTGATTTGTGTTGAAACAGAGACACGCAAAAATGGATTTGTCTGAAAATGAGGAGTTAACCCTCAGTAGTTATGGCGATTTTCGTCGTGAGAATGATGATAAGGGGGTGGAATGGGGTGCCCTATTTTCACACCCATTTGGCCGTGAATCTCGGTGAATACCTTGTGACCATCCTCATATCAGCCCTCAGGTCATCCGAACTACACCGGTGACTGGCAAAATTAAGCAGAAAAATAGGGACTGTTTGGCAAGAGTATCCAGCGTATCCAGCTTTGAATTCTAAGTCAACATGGATCACACACACACACTGCTTGTGCTGTTCGGCTGTATGTCATTCAAGTGGATAAGACGTAATGACACAAATGACACCTTCTGAAGCTCTTGAGAAAAGCTGAAACGGCCTGGGCCGAAACAGACACACGTCACCCGTCAAGGCGAGCAGCTGCTGTGGAGCGCCAACTTTGTTGCTGGACTATTGGCGGCCGCAACGCTGCATCCGGTGGTGCGTTCCCGGCATACCAAGCATTTGCTTCAGGGACTTCATGGATTCCATGCACTTCAAAGTCCCAAGGCCTCGGAGATCCAACGTTAAGTCAACGTTGCAGCACCCTAAAAAAGAGAATGAAAAAGCATGTGTTGCTTCGAACAAGCGCGAAGGGTAACAAGGTGCACAAGGGAAACCAGTAGAAACCACAAAGGATTGCCTCAGCTTGTTATGCTTGACACGCATTTGGAGATGCCATGTGTGCCATATGACCAGTCATGAAACTTGTGAAGCAGCTGGACCAAGTTATGCTCCGCCATTGCAGGCTATCTTGCTCACATGGCTACCGCTTTCCGCGCTGGGTTTGCTCGGTATAATCTTCGTGCTGCTTGGCTGATCTTGGAACCACAGCCACTGACTAGCTATTGCTATGGTTAGCTGTTCGCCAAGGCTCATGCAAGCGACTGCTGGTCAGGAGCACAGATACGAGATTCGTTGTGGATTGATGATTTTGAAAATTGAATATTATCGACGATGTGTTGAGATATTTCAGGCAAGAACCGAACCTGCAGCTGGCTTGTCATATCGTGTACACCCTGTACGTTGCTTAGGCCTCGAAAAGCGTCAGCGGGAGAAATATGGCGAGGAGGAGAAGTACCGAAGCGCCTTGGAGGCAAACGACCAATTCCCAGGTCATGCGAATCCTAAAGTTCGGAGTTCCTTGGTCCTTTGTGTTCAGACGTGATTTGCTCGGGCATGTTTGGGGCTATGGAAGATGCCGTGGAAGGGCTGGCCGTGGCATTGCAAGAGTTCATCATTTAATGCGGCCGGGTTGCAAACTCTTAGGTTGGTTTAGGAAGACGTGGCCTGGTCTGGCTTTACGCTCCTTGGTGCAAGGTGTGTCTCAACAAGCACGCAGAAACATTCATATGCAAGGGCACACACACACACAATTTCAATCTATAGGCATCATGTTTGCATTGCTTTTTTTCAGTAAAAGATTGCAAGCGGCTCCTCGTTACTTTCAGGTTCTCCAAGAGTGACATGGCAGCAATGAGACATTGCTTTGAGTTGTACTGGTGATCAATTTCACTCTCTACACAGTATTTGTGGATCTTCTGATAGCAATGCAAGCTTTCAGTGCGCCCCCTCGAGGTCACACCTGAGTCCAGCATTTGAAAACGGATTCAATTGCACTGGCGCTATTTGATTATCTACTTTTGAATTTGCTGGCGCAGTGAAATACCCTGCGCTGGATGTTCCCCACGCTGCGGGATGCTTTGAAAAAACGGATTTTCTCTTTGAATATGGAAATTGCCTTGTTATGTTTCATATCATCCCAGTGTTGCTTCATGAGACCTTACCGTATAGAAGAGTTTCTTGGTGATTTGTTGTCGACATAGACATGCTTGGAAGATGTCGCAAGCATTTATTATAATTTACCACCAAATTCAATTTTCTGAAGACTGAATTCTTCTCTTGGTTAGCAGCACTTGAGCGTTTTTTTCCACATGTTTTTTTGCTGTTTACAAAGCGCAGGTGCTTTGAGGTGGAGCTGACAAAACGCTCATTCCTCGGCTTACGCCCGGGACCTTGGGACCTTGGGACCTTGGAATCTCCACCGCAGAAGCCAGTCTCAGTCGGCCTGCTGAAGTGGCGTTAGGCAATGTGAAGAAAGAAGTCCTGCAGGTGCAGAGATGGCCAAATGACTGAACATGGCATGGTCCATTGGCCCATTTATCCGATTTAGTTTGATGATTTGCCATGATTTACCATGATTTACCGTGATTTACCATGATTTAAACTATGAAAAATGGAGATTTTCAACAGCAAACTGTGTAGGAATTACCAGACTCTAATCAGCATTTGTGCATTGGGTGGTGATGGTGGACCTGGCGAGTCTTGCGAGTCTTGGGAGTTTTGGCCAGGCGGACACTGACGATAGTCTCTTCCGTTGGGTGGATGCACTGGTGCAGGTGGGGCAAAGAGCTGTGTGTTGAAACACTGCTGACATGGTTTGGAGGTGTGATATGTCACATACAGCATCTATAGTCTGTGACATCATGATATAGCATGATATAACACAATATAACATATATAATACAGGTATATATTTTTTCAGAAGCGATATGCAGCTCATATTGAGCCACGCGTCTGCAGCAGCGCGCCCTTAGCTGGTTACTTATTTCAATTTTGGGGTTAGATAAGTCCATTGCTCGCGATTTTCTGAAATTGGTATCAAAAGATAAAGTAAACGGGTGGTGTTATACCAATGTTTCATACTAACGGAGGAGAATCGTTTTAATTCTACTATGGTGAAATGTTGGTAAAAGGAGTGAGTTAATTGGCCGAGAAGTGGGGGAGAGTTGTGAAAAATAGTGGCTCTATGTGCTGCTTCGGCTAAGGCAAGTTCTGGCCAGTGGGCCGGTCAGGCTCCCCTTCGAAATGGGGAAGAAATTGTACGGAGGGGGTGAGAAGGATTGAACATGATAAAAGATTCTGCTGAGTCGGGGTGACGGAGGATGTGACCTAGGTATTTAATTCGAGAATCGGAAATACGCATGGAAGAGGGAATGCACGATGGAAGGACAGGATATGCAAGTGAAAGGAGGAATTCATTAGAGCAGGGAGAATCAGTATAAGATGTATAAGGAGAGTGGACACGATGGTGGTAGGGACTCTTAATTTGGAAATTTTGGCGAAGTGCTTTATAGTTGAGGCTGTCAATTTTTGTAATTTGTGCTGGGGAGTAGATTTGGGATTCTGAGCCGTGGAGAAGGATGGACTGGACGATTTGGGTATAGACCCGGAGCTTGAATCGCTGAGACATAAGAGGATGTCGAAAGAATGGATCGAGTGTCTTGAAGTCGGGGGAGGCTTGAGAACAACGAAAGTTGACGTCCGGAATGGACGATGAGGTAGGAGTGATGAAGGAACCGAGATATTTGGCACTGGTGAGTGGGGTGAGTGGAACATCGAGAGATGAAATGTCGGAGTAGTAAAGAAAAAGGGAGCGCAGTAGGGACAGTTGCATTGTGAATCTGCATCGGCAGTGAGGGAGAGGGAAACTGGGAGAGCGGCATGGACTGTGAGGAGCTGACATTTGGATCCATTCAGGAGAAGACCAGTTCGTGCGGCCAAGTGTTGGAAAAGATGTACAAGTCGGCAGAGGGTGTCGTTAGTACGGGCAATGAGAACTGTGTCATCAGCATATTCAACGTCAGTAAGTGGGTGTGTGAATGAATAAGTCCAAGGTGTATAAGAGAAAATTTCTTGGAAAAAGGAGTGGAGATCTGTGGTGAGTGCCGAAAGAGCGATGATGAAGAGATAGGGCATCCTTGTCTGATGCCTCTTGAGAGAAGAAAGGAGGAGGAATCGCCAGTGGGATCAGTAACGAAGAATTTAGCATTCTGGTAGAGAGACATCATTGCTTGCTTGGACGAGAAAAGGGGGAATACCATATCTGGGGAGGGCTGCAGCAAGATGCTGTTGGCCAATGGAGTCAAAGGCTTGTGACCAATCCAAGAAGAGGATATATAGGGGCGTGGAGTGGCGTTCGAATATTTCGGTAAGTCGTCGCAAGAGAAGAAGGGGGGGTGCATAAGGAGCGTTTGGAATGGGAGAGGCGTTGTTGGATCATACAGGGCATAAACTTTGCAAATGGAGTTTGCTAGAGAAATGGCGCGATAACTGGATGGAGATTTGCTGTTCTTGTGAGTGCCTTTTTAAATCATGACGACTTTGCTGAGTTTCCAATGATCAGGGGCGGCGCCCAACAACAGGCAGTCATTGTAATGAGCGAGGAGGTATTATTTCTTGACTGGGTGTGGAAGGAGTCGTAGTGTTTCCATAGGCAATTAACTGCACCTGCGGCACCGCCGGTTTTGGTCCGTCGGAAAGCATGGTAGAGTTCAAACATTGTGAACGGAGTGTCAAGGTCTGGTTGTGGTGGTGCAATGGGATCTTCGATAGGGTCTGGGAGTGCTTTAGAATTCCAAACATTATCCCGAAGATGCTGGGCGAGAACCTATGATTTTTCAGATTTTAGACATGGAGTGTCGTCAGGCTTGTAGACGGATTGAGTACGGGGTTGGTATTTTGAGCGGATTCTTTTGATAGTTTTACCAGTGGTCAGAAGGAGAATTTAATGTAATCAAGGTGGAGATTGGAGGAGATCCATCTTTTTTTGTCCAGCTTGGAGGATTTGTTAATTTTGTTACGGAGAGATTTTTGTATGTCCGGTGGAGAAGTGGGGAGCTGTTCAATGAGGGAAATGGTATGCTGTTGGATCTGTCCGATGGGAGAGCGGGAGGTGACTCCTTTGGATGCATTGGAATCTGCTCGGTCATTACCTGTGATACCAGTGTGATATTTGACTTTGCGGAGCTCCACGTAGGAATTAGATTGGAGATAGTGGAAAAAATCAAGTAGGAGAATGGTTAATTCCAAATTGGTGGAAGGTAATGCGACTCCAGAGAGAAGATCGAGGACATATTGAGAATCGAGGTGGAAGATGATGTGGGGGGGGAAGGGGGGGTGGAGCATCATAAATGCAATTGCTTCGAGTGGAGCCTGGAGTTCCGCTGTGTTGTTGGAGCCGGTGACTGTAAATGGGAGAGATCCAACTGGTCCATAGAGATCTAAATGAATACGTTCAAAGAAAGCTCCCCATCCTGCTGGATTGTGTGATGTTGTGTGGAGAAACGTTGTCTTGATCAGGGCAGGAACCATCTGTGTAAATGTGACAAGGAGCGAGGGACTTAAAAGCTTTGAGAGTGGCTACTTGATATTCGAGCTTGCTGTCAGTGGAGGTGAAATCCCTCTTTGGAGGAGGAGGAGACGGTGATCGAGGGTTTGTGAAAAATGGCAGCTGCAATTTAGTTGAAAGGAGGAAGTGTCGGTGGAACCAGGGGAGTGGAACTGAATGATTTGATGGAGCGGAAATAAGTCTGGTGTTCAATTCGACAAATGATGTGGTCGAGTACTGACTGAGTACTGCAAATGTATCAATGGTAGCAGAATGAACTGGTGGGGGTGAGTTGGAGATTTCAAGGTATGTGACGAGTTGTGATGGTTGGCGAGGTCTCATTGAGGAGAGAACTGATAATTCGTTATCTTGTAGAAAGCCGATCATAGAGGAGAGGTTGGTAGCTTGGAGGAGGTCATCGTCGATGTCAGTGGAGAAGGTTGCTGGTCCAATGTGGGATTGGAGGCCTTCAATCTGATTGGAGCACGGTCTTGTGTTAAAGTCGCCCATGGGTATTGGGATATATTTGGGTTTATAGTGGTTGAAAACATTATGGAGCTGATCCCAGAACTGGTGTTTACGGTGTATGTCGGAGGTAGGGTCTTGGATCGTGGATGGAGCATAAATAGAAAACCATGCAACTCGATGTGGTCTGGTATTGAGGACAAGAACTGCGATTCGAGAGTTCCAGGGATGGAAATCATAAACAATTGGGAGGAGAGGTGTAGGGATAGCAAAGCCTTCTCCGGCATGTGGATCGTCTGAGGATCCAGAGACGTAAATATGTGAGTGAGAAAGCTTCAGAATATTTGTGTGGGTAGATTTGGTATCTTGTAGGCAGCAGATTCCCTGTGGGAGGCGGAGGATGACTTCTTGAAGTTGGGTGTACTTTCCAATGCCAATAAAAGCTTTCGTCCAATCTGTCCCGGAAAATGTATGTGCGAAAAAAGTTGGCTCTGGAGCGGGAAGTATGGGTAAGGAAGTGTGGAGGGTAGTGGCGCTTTTGGGATGCACTTCTAACTTGCACCTTATACGCGGAACCGGATGGTATGGGCAAGGTGGGACCCATCCATCGAAGCCATTGAGAAAGCCAATCACGATAAGCTCTACGATGTTGTCTCCTTTGAGAATTATATTTCTCATGTCTACGCGTAATAGAAGCTTCGGATCGGAGATTTTGATGTGAGCGGTTCAGGGTTCGTGACCACTAGTCTGTTGAGGCAAAAAATGAACTTTTAGGAGGACCGTGGTCTCCCGGCAAGCCTCTGGCGGCCCCTGCCAGCTTTAGCTGTTCGTGTAGGAGGTGTCTGCTGTATCCAGTAAAGGAGTGATACTGCCTTTTGCCCCTTCGAAAAAATCAGATTGAAGTATGGAGATAGCAGTATTTAGTGTGATGGACGAACATTCCGTTATTAAGTTTGATAGGGTGAGAACGAAATTCCTTTGGACAGTTGTCGAATTCCCAGTGGCCTAAGTAACATTGACATGATGTACATATATTTGGAGGGATGTTTCCATTATAGATATGCATATATATATGCTATATTTTTCATGGGCAGGAATCGGACTTGTGAACAGAGAGCATACTTTTGTGCCTGGAAGGCAAAGTCTGTTGGCCATGTCAGTATGAGCTGAAGATGACTGTTGGACCTGAGGTCCTTTGCTGAATCAACATGAATTGCTTCAATAAAATGGTCGGGTGTTCAATTGAAGCCCTGTGCAAGAGGTGGACTGGAAGTCCTGGAATTTCTTCAATTTGAATTGGCAAGTGGACTGGAAGTCCACTAGCTGTATGTCCTGGATGGGGTGATAAATGAAGGAGAGGGAATTTGAAATTGAAGGGGGGGGAAGTAAAACATGAAAAAAGATGCAATTGCAGAAAACGCAGAGCATTCCCCAAAAAATCATCTTAAGTAACCAGCAATTAAGGGGGAATAGTAAGATGACATCAACGACCCAGGAAGAATTGAGGTCCCTATGTTGATGCATAAAAATGATCCAAAAAGTTTGCCCAAAAAGGAGGTGTTCCCCTGATTCAGCTAATGAATACAAAAGGGTCTGCATCGAATTTCCCTTATTATTTCAGTGCCTAGTAGTAGCCCATTGAACTTGTTGAGGCCACTTTGGACCTCTTTGGCAATATTTCTGTCCAACTCAAATTGAGGGAATCATTAGGAATCTGAAGCTGTGACTTTCCGTAGGGCGCCTTGGAAAAATATGAGCAAATTGCCATTAGTGAAACAAGTGCAAACTTCGCTCAGGTTCTTCAGATCGTTGCTGGTGAGCTCGTCCACAATGAAGTTGAGAGTTCTCTGTCGAGGTAGTAGAGGAGCAAGTAGTGCTTCAACAAAGCCATCATCAATGCTGCTGGGGTGGTGTTGAAGGAATTGCTCATCAATGGCGTCAATGGCAATGAGGGCTGATGATGCAACTACAATGTTCCATGGGACGCATGACACTATTGCAGGATGAATATCTGAATTGTCCTTGAAGGAGATCTGCCAGTTGTCGAGGATAGTCTTCTGGTTGCACCTGATGAACTTGTCGATGTTCTCTGAGTACCATTGGCATGCATAGAGGTGGTCAGTATAAGGAGTCTCTCATTGATAGGGTAGCAAAAGTATTGGAGGTTCCAGTCCAGGTTGCTCTTGGTGAATCCAGTGGCTGCTAGTCTTCGAAGTAGAAGAGCTTTGTTGACCATTGTGGCTTCAATGGTCTTGATTCTGCAGTCTTTTGTATCAATCTGACTCTGGGTGTAGTACTGCCCGAGGATGGTGTTTGAGAAAAATTGTTGGCAAGCTTCAAGCACGAATCGATTGTTGGGCAAGAAGGTGGCTTGGTGGTACTGTAGCATTGCATCCTTCATTTGGGCCTCTTGGAGTTTCTACTGACTGAAGGTCTGTAAATGGTCTCTTATTTGTGAGGTCAATCTTCTGGAGTTTTCCTTTGTCAGGATCATTGTGGAGAGCATCTGGAGTGGTGATATCGAGGGCAAGAAAAGCTGCTCTGGCCTGAGGTGAAGCTCGTAGTTCCTGTTGCAGTCCAAAATCCAAATCTGAGAGCTCAACATCCTTAGCTGCTAGTGCTGAAAGGAGCTCGTCCCATCCTTGGTCCATTCTGGATTTCTTTGTAGCAGCTCGATGTTGCTTGATGAGTTCAAGTTCTTCAGGAGAGAGAACCTCAGTGGTAGAAGATGCTGGAGTCGAAGTACGTCGTGGTAATTCAGAAGGAGCAGGTGGTTCTTGAGAAGCTTGGGATTCTGGTTGCTTCAAATCCATGGCTTCAATAGGGAGTTGCTTCAATAAATTGTGACATGTAAGTTGAAAGTGCAACAAAAAGTGAGAAATCGGGCGCTGCCCCGTCAACATGTGGAAATTGAAAGTTTAATAAGTAGAGGGGAAGGGAAATGACAACTGGGATGTTGGGGCATGCAGTACAATTTTGCACGACAGCGTTGCTGACAGTGTGGCAAACGCTAAGGCTTGCGCCAAATGCCAAATATAGGTGTATATATATATGTGTATATATATATGTGTATACATATATATATGTGTGTATATATATAAACTATAATTTTATATGATGGTAGTTATGGCGCAGGTGTGAATGTGTGACTGTATGTTGATGTGGATAGTATTGTTGCAGCGACTCACTGCTGTGGTTCTGGTGAAGTTGTTGGCTGAACCCTTACAGCTCGGCATCAAGCTGCGGATGTGCAATGAAACCAACAATACGACATGAGAGAGGGGAAGGTAAGACGTTGAATTCATGGCTAAAAAAATCTAAAAATTCCGCAATATATGTATATATCTATATCTATCTCTCTATATGTGTGTATATATATGTATAGAGAGAGAGAGAGAGAGATGAAATATGTGAACGATTGTGAAAGGTATCAAAGGGTATCGTCTCCATCATTGGTCCAGAGGTAAGGGATTTTCAACACAGCATGCTAGTCCTTGGCAAGCATCAATGTCTATCTATGTCTACCTTCTAGTGAAACCAGATGTCTAATGAGCCAACGAGCTGCACTTGAGCTATGACAGAATCTCCAAGCCCTACGAGGCTCGCAAATCGCGCCGTTTTTTGACGATGTGTAGTCACAATTTCTTCCCCCAATATGAATTACACCCGAACTGCTGGTTTAGTAGTGTCATCGTTGCTTTTGGGGTTCCTTATGGGAGCATATAGATGTAATGTGATCATATTATGATCAGGCCTGAAACACACCTGGCACCTTCAAACTGCACCCTTTGGGGGCCCTTTAGGATGTTGGAGGGACCAATATTCTGAAGAAAGGGTCTTCGGCATGCCATTGGCAGGCGCTCCAAGTCAAGGAAGTACTTGCTGGTGCAAGGCTTTCTTTGCGTGCTGTGCACGGATACTTGCCCTTGAAATCATTTGAACAAGGTTTGTCACTCTGAAAGAAGTCTCCAAGTACTACACTGTTACTACACTCATTGATCGCTGAATGGATGGCAGAACCAATCTGAGTGCTGGCAAGTCTGCAAGGAACTTCAGGGCCGTATGGATCCACAATTGTCGTCACCATGCTCGGACTTGTGAAGGATTGGTTTACAACTACACGTATTTTCCACATGTTGCACGCTACCTTGATTTAAGGTAGTGGGTGCTTTCTACCCAACTCTGTTGGACTGGTCCAAGACGGCCTTGGAAACCGAAGTCTCTTTACACGGGAGCAAGGATGGCGTGAGAGGGCTAGTGGTTAGAACTACCATGTTGATTGGTTGTTAGAGGGGGGTCACACTACTTGTACCTGATTGATTCATGGTTATTCTGGATTAGTTATATTCTATGATAGGGATGCTGGTTAGCGTCCTTCAAATTGCTGCATCGTACTCAGGACCAGCACTGATAGAGTACTGATAGTCAAGGGGATGATCCATTGTGATTCTTAGTTCGCAGACCAGAATTTTCTTAGCACTTCGCATGGCTATGACATCTAGCATAGGGTGAGTGCCTGATGCAAGCAAGTCTTGGTGGACTGCGTATATAAATCCCAATTCAGGAACCAAATCTGTATGCTTCAGAACCAAAGTCTCAGTCGCTTCAGAAAGAATTTAAAGCCATTCAGGAACCAACATTCACCGTTTCAGAAACCCTAATTGGCCGACGTGGCTCGAATGATTTTATGCAAGCATGGCATGTTATTTCATAAGGGGTTAAAGCTCCCAGTGTTGTGGAACACGATAGCATACCAGTGTTAATGCTATCCACCCATAGATCCCATGTAACTTGATCATGGTACACATGATACCCCTTTGCAAGATTTAGCAAGCCCTCCATACACTGGGGGAATCTGGGGGAGCAGGAGACGCGTGCGTATCCCTTCAGCGCTGCTTCAGTGGTGTTGGTGAACGATGCCCTGCAGCTCTCGTTGGCACTTCTGGCCGTCTCACTGAAGTTGGGCCTGTCGTCGATGTTCAAAGATGGGAGCCTGGCCGCTTGGAGTTGTGAAGCTGAGAGAATGGTAGGGATTTGACATAGCTGGAATTCCTTGTTAGTAGGACAGATGTTTTTCTTCCGCTCTGGGCATTCATTGTGTCCTGTTCCTCAGAACAGGAAGTATTTGCTGCTGCAGAAGATGCGTTGTCCCAACTTAAGTGTCTCCAGTCGGCCATCCCTACCAGCCCTACCACAAGTGAACTGCCACAGGCAAACATCAATAGAATCAACAGACGCTTTTATGCGTGTAGAAAAACCCTACCAGCCATGATGCTCTCATTACGGCCAGTCCTGACATAGCGGCTATGGAGGTTTTGAAGATGCTGCCTTTGGGCTTGATCTACGCTGTAGGAGAGCTGCTGACCCTTCGCTCTGTGCAAAAGGCAGGAATGTCGTTGCTGTCGATGAGCAAAGATACAGAATTCAAAACAGAGGATGGATATGGATGGATAGATTATTGATACAGAATTCAAAACAGAGGATGGATATGGATGGATAGATTATTGTGACTATACTGATATATCCTGATATTGCTATTTTTGCGGTTGCTTGTTGGCAGCACAGCCAGTGGGAGACCATTTCAAGGGGTTGGTTGCGTATGTCAATGTACTGACCTTCCGGCATCTACCAAGAGCATGTCACCTTTTTTGACAGGGCTCTGGGCCTGTCTACGTGGTGATTGCCAACATGAAGCTAGTTGCTTTGCTTTGCATTGGCTTCCAAGCTGCTGGATCCAGGGCACAAAGATCTTGCAAAATTGTGTAAATTGAGATGGTCTCCGTTCGCCCTACCTTTTTGATTGGATCAACCTTGATATTTGTGGCATTCTGTGGCTCTGATATACTGAACAGATCAACCAAGGTTGTCGCTGCAGTCATGTCTCGGATCTTCTTTGGGCAGTCGCGTTCTTTGCCATGGCTTCACTGGATGGACTGCTACAGCACCGTGAAACACTGTGGCATGAGACGTATGACACGTCTAGTGCTTGTTGCTTCTCTGTGTCTTTTTTTTGGAGGAAGACTCCATATATGTGCCATGGTCAAAAGATGAATTATCTGTCTATATCTAAACATACTATACATATTATCTATGTATCTAATATATAATATGTATAATACATATATATATATATTATGATTCTGTATGATTATGTCTGTATACATCAATCCATTATATACATAGAGATTTGCATAACTCATTTTGAGTCCACCACTACGTGACTGCCGTGGAGCGCTTCGAGCTCGTGAGGAGCTGATTTTCATCAGCCTCCTTGCGGCCTTGTACACCGTGGCCGAGGTCTTGGTTCAGCGGATCAACCGTGAATGTCATGGGATTCATGGAGATTAACATAGATTATCATCGATTATCATAGATTAACATGTTTTTTTTTGGATTAACATAGATTATCCAGAAACTTCTGGGAGATTATAGGAGATATATCGAGATATCTGATATCTGGATCTCTGGTAATTGGACGATTTGGAACTGGACAATCATCATTTTTTACTTCGGCAAATCATTTTTATCATATAAATGGGTCATTTTCCAGAGCTATGTTAAATACCCAAGGCTAACAGTTTTTGGTCAATGTCCTATCTGTTCACATCACCCAGCATGGGATAATTCAACTCCAGATATGTCCTCAGGCGCTGCTTTTATGTATCATGACCTGAACCAACAATCTAATTTATATGATATGTTATACTGATTCACTGATATAATGATGTACAAGATATAGTTGATATCATGCCAAAATACATATTATAATAATATGTTCGGACTGAATGATGTTGCTATAACTTTATGATCATCTTTATATCATTGATATATCTCTCTCTCTCTCATATCATATATATATGTATATACACATGAATATATTAAATTTAGCTTACTCTTCCGACATTTTTGGGTCATTTGTTTTTGTTCCAGGCTGGCAACATGGGCTCCTCTTGGCGCTGGGAAGGCGCTTGGGCTGCCTTGGCCAAGAGTTCTTTAGTTGCCTTCAGCTCAGTGCCGTGGATGCAGGAAGGGCTGATGGATCTGGGCTGGAAACGTGGATTTTTGGTTGGAAACCACCCGAAATTTGAGGAAAAGCCATGGAAAAGCCTCAGAAAACCACTGGAAAACCATGGAACACCCCAACATTTTGTGGTAAATCTTCATTTTTTTTGAGGGGGGGAAACATCTGAACTGGTCGTTAATCACCATTACTACCGTAGAATGCCATGTGATGGGCTGAGTCTGGTGGAGCACCTTGGCCTGTGTGACGCCGGGGGAGGCCACCAAATTTTGGACACAATTGTGATTCAAACGGATCCCAAACATATTTGGAACATCTTGGGAAACTGGGAAAAACAGCTATTCAAATAGCTGGAGAAACTATTGGAGCAAAAAAACACTTAGCAGATCTTGCAAGATAGTCTCCTGAAAACCTGGGTTTCGACTGGCTTGCCATTGATTGGTTGCCATGTCGCGCTGAGGTATTCTGTGAACATACTTACAAGAGCAACTCCTTCTTGGTGGTCTTGTCCTTGCAGGTTCTGGGCAAGAGTTAAAACGTGCAATGTCGTGTGCGCAATGCGGGCACACGTTTGAATTGGCATGAATTGGCGAGGGTTTTCTACCCAGCTGTCAACTTGTATGCTCCATTTTGAGGCTTTTTGGGGCCTTGCAACGATGCTCCTCTTGCTTCTGGGTGCATGGTTGTCTACCCCGGGGTCTGGCTTCTTGGGTGGGGTCTCCCTAGAACTTCGTGACGAAGAAGGGCATTGGGTGTTCTTCTCAGGACCACTGGGACCATGGATTCAGATTCCAGCGTTGAAAAGGCAGATCACGAGGGGAGGCGCATTGAAGGGCATAGAATCTCGTTCATTCTACAACAGAATTAGATGATGCAAGACAGGAGCACAAGGCTTCCAATATTCTAGACTGTTCATGTTTATTCTAAGATGTCTGTGATATCAACGAGATATCATGGAGATATCGACGACCGGAGCGACCCCAGGAGGTCCTTCACATCCACTTTGTGATTCCTCAGAGCATTTGAGTTGTCTCCATCATTTGACCGGAGCAGCGTCCTGCGTTTGCATCACAGAACGAGGCACTGCGTATCGTATCACCTTGCAGGATGTTGAAATGCACAGTGACAGCCGGCCCTGGTCGAATATCCATCCCACTTTCCAACATTTTGCTGACAAGGGATTTGTGAGCATCCAGCAAAAGTCCATCAGAAATTCAATCACAGATCATAAAACTATCAAACATTCATCACAAGTCTATCGAAAAAGATTCCGAACAGATCAGAAACCAGTGCAAATTCATTGTGAATCCATCAAACATCCATGAGAACTCCAATCATCTATGAACTTATACTTATTTGAGAAAAAACATGTCAATCCATGTCAAGGCATGTTAAGCCATGTCAAATTCATCCAAATCATGGAACCATCTTTGGTTAAAACTTCCACATCAACCCCCAAAAAGGCTGGGATTCCTACACCTTCCTGGCGGTCTTTGCCGATCTCAGCAACGCGGTGAGCTCCGCCCTGGTCTTCCGCCGCCTCAGCGCGGTGGCCAAATACGTGTGCCGCGCCTCGTCGGCGGTGCCTTGGTTGGGGGTTTTCCCCTGGAAGGGTCCCTGGAAGGGTCCCTGGAATGGTCCCTGGAAGGGATGGAAAATCCATGGGAAAATCAGCACATTATGAATTAAGATGATCAAAATATGGGAAAATCCATGGGAAAATCCATGGAAAATATGGAGCTTTAGGAAATTCATCTGAATGAAGATAAACGGGGAGGAAACTCCCATGAATGATTAATTCGATGATGTGCCATGTAAGATGGCAATTGTGTGATCAACCCTTAATTCGAAATTGTTCCAATTCAACTATACATGGGAGATGTGGAATTGCTAAAAAGGCTTTCAATCTAATGTGTGGTGTTTCTCAGGAATTCATTTGACACTGAGGTACCAATGTACATTTTCTACTGCGCTGTAGGAAGAGCTCTGTGGGATGTCAAGATCTTTGGCATAGTTCTGTTGCTTGGACAGGGACATCACCCTGATTGGTCATCTTTTGGCTGTTTGAATCCCTATAAAAATTGGATGAAAAGAGCATTGAAACCCCAAGGCCCCTGTATTTGGGGATAGTTTTGGGAGGTTCTAACCACCGTTTCCTCTAATTTTTCCCTCAAACCAATCCATTGAGCTCAGTTTCACAGGGGAACTGTCCATTGTTCCAAGACCGTCACTCTGTGTCCAAAACTGGGTGGCTTCCCCCCAAATGTCCATCTTTACGGAGAAACTGATCAAACAGTGGAGTTAGGGGCTAGGGGATGAAGGTTCCCAATCAAAGGATCTTTGACACTGGCGGATCATGGCGTCCGAATACATTTGAGCCGCTCTAAAAACCTCCCTTTGCATTTTCAGTAAGGGCCTTGTCACAACGAGTTTGGCGTAAGCAAAACCCTCACTTGCGTAAGGCCTTCGCGTAAGGGTTTCCTCAATTTGCTTCGCATAAGGAAAAACTCTACGTGCGTAAGCATGGTGTAAGCTTTGGCGTACCCAAAATGATACGACATAGGGAGTGACTGAAGGTTTTCAGAATGGCTCATTTGAGAAGCACGCAGCCGAATTTTCCTGGGGATGGACGCTTTCGTCAATTGTTTGTCAGGATTTGACGATTCAGATGGGGTGATTCAACACAGCTTGCCACAGGGACTATGTTTTTCATGTGGCACAGCATTCAGGTGTAGTGCTCAACTGGGCGTGTTAGAAAGTGGGGTAATAATCCCCCTTGGAATTTCCCCTACGAAATGGTGGGCCTGGGCCCCACGAGTCTTTAGAGATTTGGATTTTATGGGTGTTCCATCTTTGACTACTTGCATTCTTTAGAGGAATATTGGTCGCTATTTGACCTCATCTGGTGGAAGCTGGAGGTTCCATTTTTTAGAGTTCAGGGTTATCATCCGGAATCCGGGATCGCCTCTAAATTTACAATTTCCCATTCTTTAGACACCAGTTGTGTGTTTCCAAACAAAAACGAAGTTCCATTTTTTAGAGCTCACTGGTTCAATAACATCAAGGGGTATGCGCTGGGGCCCTCCATTTTATAGAAAAAACGTGCGGAAACACTGACATATTATAAACAGTCATAAGATACTATAAAATGTTATAAACATATAATATCATATAAAATGTATACAAAAATAATAACATCTATCATGTATTTGTTATGATTTTTTAATTATGTCATTATTTCAGATTTTCCCAAACTCTTCTGTGCCACTGGCTCAAAGATGTTCAAACATATTAAGAACATCTCTAAAGAATGGTATTCCCAGATCCTGCAACATAAACAAGATGTTTGCATAATTTTGCAACTTCTCTGTTCACCATTTTTTAGGGAAAAAATAAGGGGAAAAAAATGAAATTAAGCACTTTTCAAGCCAATCACCGGTTCCTCCATTTTATAGACATGCCTCTGTTTGTAGGACCCTCGGAGGTTCCATTCTATAGAGCTTGGGGTTCCATTCTATGGAGATTTGTTATGATAATATGTTAGTCCGGTCCCTCCATTCTATAGAGCTTGGGGTTCCATTCTATAGATGTCCCACTTCTAGCCCCCCGGGTCCACTAAAGAATCGGCCCACCCACCCTTTTTACTTAATTCAAAGGGGGATGGGCATCTATACCCTCCAAATGTCTTAATGGGGAACAACTGTTTTTTGGGTACGACCAGGGTACCTGTACCAGTCCTGGATACTAAGCTGCTCGAGGCTTCTCTGTGCTCAGATCAGCGTGTACACGGTACAAAGGCACAGGGCAGAAGCAGAAGCAGAAGCAGCAGAGGAAGCTGCATGGGCCAAGGAGTACGGAAAGAATCAGCCCCCTGGCAGAGCTGTGCAAAGTCGTTCAAACAACAACAGTGTTTCAAGAAACCAGCTTGAAGCCAATGATAATGGTTCGTAATAGTTGACTGCACCAAATTGCAATGACATACTGTAGCGACATAATGGGCACTGAGGAATGGCCAGCTCAAAGTTGCCTGAACAGGCTGTCCAAAGCTGGTGCTGAGACCTGGTTTTGAGGCACAGAGCCCTTCTAGGCCTGTCCTTCTTCGGACATTTGGGCCCGGCCTAGCTCAAAATTGAGGCCTTGCCTAGTGGTTTCTCTGCAAATATGTTTTGTGTGTTGGGGATATGGCGGGTACCTCATTTTGGAGGCCCAAAATATCCAGTTGATCCTATGTGTATAGAAGCCCAAAGTGACTGAACGTTGGAACAGGACATGATGTCAACTGGGCATGGACCTACCAAGAGGTGGAGTCGACTTGTCAATTGTGATGAAAATTGCTAGAGCCTCCGAGCGCAGTGTGAGGACAAACTCAAGTGATGAGATGATGATCGACACGTAGACTTTGAATGCATCGAATGTGTCAAGAATACATTGTACATTAGACAGATAGACAAATAGAACGATAGCTATCTTGACAAGTGTGTTCATGCGTTTTGAACATTCATGAACATTTATGAACCATCTAAAACGTGGAACACAACAGTTTTTGGGATTTTCCCAGGCTGGTGCTGAGAATCGCGGAATAGTTTTGCCGGGGACCTAACTGAGCTAACTGAGCTAACCAAGAATGCAGTTTGGCCTCTTTCCAAGAGAGCACGATTTTGGGACTTCTTACAATCCTTCAGGCAATTTTTATTATGTTTCATTGTGTTTCTCGAATTGCGTGTTATTTTCATATAGATATCATAGACGTGTATTGTTGTGTATTGTATATTTACATCTAGAGATAGATTATCTATAATCTGTCCATATGTAACAATATATATATATTTATATTTATCTAGTTTAAATGATTTAAATGATTTTAGATATCTATTTATCTATTATGGTATAGCTAGATTGTCTAGATAAATTATCCATGGCTCAGGTCCAAGCCGCCGCCTCCACCTCCACCGCCCCGAGAGTCCCGAGAGTCCCGAGAGGTGAGATGCCAAAGCTGAAGTTGGGGGAAGAATTCGACGTGAATATTTATGCAACTATATGGAACTTATGTATATACAAACATGTGTGTACTGTAGATATGTATTTATATATATATACATCCACATATATATATATATACATCCACATATATATATATATACATCCACATATATATATATACATCCACATATATATATACACATCCACACACATATATATACATATATATATATACATATGTGTATATATATATATGTATATATATATATGTATATATATGTATATATATATGTATATATATATATGTATATATATATATACACAATATGTATATATTATATGGCAGCTTAAACACCCCCAGGCACAAGAAGCTCACTCTGTCAAGCGGCCGCTGCGAGAGCCAGAAGAGCCCCAGCGGCCTCGAGAACCTGATGCGCAGGTGCCGCAGGTGGGTTTTCCTTTGCAACATGGTACATGAAAAACATTCATATAATTTCATATATATATGTCAAGACATTTAAAGATGCCAAATTGATCCAAATTCTTGCATCTTTAATTTGAAAATATTGACCTTAATTGACCTTGGTGTAGTTTTCAGCATTCTGACATGATCTCCCCAGGCTTCCAGCTTCCGGCCGGAGCCTCCAGAGCCTCCAGAGCCAAAGGCTCCGGCTCCAGCCCCAGATGGAGACGGCGATGCCAAGTATCCAACGAGGTCCACCAGGACGGTTCCGGGGGCTGCCATGATTTTGACAATCTCTGCAGTGAGGTTTTTTGTGAGTCCCTGGTAATGAAATGTAAAGAACTGACACTTTTTGAGAGAGACATGCCAGATATCTATAGATTTGTTTGGCAAAGGCTTGTCACTGTTGTCCTCTTAAATTTCGGCAGCATGTTTTGAAGAAACTGACCCCTGCGAGAAGTTTCGATCATCACCAGGACACAATCATTGACAACGGAGGATGTCTTCGAATAGTAGTGATGTCCTCAAAAAGGTTTGCTCGCTGAGCTGCTTTTTCTATTGCTTCAGATGCTCGGGCGTATTGTGGTGCCGTCGTTTCCTAGTGGCACTGATCAAAGCGTGGGGTTAGAGACTCCTTGAACAATTGCCATGCGCTGAACCAAAGGGCACAAGGCGAAGCAGGTGCCAAGCATACCTGACAAAAAATAGTTCCCCTGAGAATCACAGTCACAGTTCTAAGCCAGCATCATGTTCAACACATTTCCTGGACTCGGCGTTGGCTCGGAGTACTTCTGTACGGTCTTGGCTCGCAGTGCAGCATTCAAACCTAGCCTGATATAAAACAAGCAAATCATTGGGAATTCCAAACCTCCAAGCGCATGACCTGTTCCCATGAACATCTCCAAATCTTTTTTCACGGAAGTTCGATTCTACATCAACTGACTGGAACCGAGGCCAAGATTCGTTTTGAGTTGTTACCCACTCTGAAGCACTGGATATGGCTTGCCTTAGAAATTGATGTGGACTTAGTCTTTGCACTGGCTGAGTTGCAGCCATGCATCATCACAGGTCCTCGACAAAGGCTGGAACAGTCCGTCTCTAAAAGGTGATTTGCTGCGAATCACCCACAAATGGAGGGGTTGGTTGACTGAATGAGGACATGCCTCCACCTAACCACTTGGCAGTCGCAGTTATTACATGTTTTTACAGCAAGACATAGAGTCTGTATACCGAAACCATAGAGTCTGTACACACCTGAAAGATTCAGGAGAAGCAACCCTCAAAGAGGAATGCATCGAAGGTCATGGGCTGGGATATGCAGGTAGTATCAGCACGAACAACTGATCAGCCAGACTAATTTCTGGGCCTTTAGCTGCTGCAGGCAGACTCTGTTTTGATCATGTATCAATATGCATCATTTGTCGTGCATTGGAGTGTCAACCCTGGAAAAGCAATCCCTTCGCCGCTTCATTTTTTTGAATTGGGGGATAATATTCACCGCAATTTCGGCATTTTGGTGATTGCCCTGCAGTAATCAATCAGGGATGGCCCTGGACGGCCGAAACTACTCAGGGCCGTGTCGAAACTACGCGAAGCTCGGTGAAGAAGCTCAACACTGCTGCCCTCAGCAAGCAGGATGCGACATGGATGTGCAGTGCTCAAGATACCAATGGGTAGATTCTATTAGGGATTTAGGGATTATTGTTAGATAGGGATATAAATTCTCATGAAATGATTAGGCAGAAATTATTATTGATGATTTGTGTATATACATATTATCTATCTATATATATATTATCTATATATATATATGTGTTATAGACTAACCGACTAACCCATGGGATGATACCAATACAACTGGCAATGTTCATGTGGACATTTTGCTGGTGCAGCTGTTTTTCGATCCTGTCATTTGATTCGTGGAAACTGGTTTTCCAGGACCGCTTAAACACCTTGAAGCAGTTGAGGGAAGCCAAAAAGGAGGTGCGGAATGGCTGTGATTGTACTTGACATTGTGATTGCATAGAGATCAAAGACGTTTTAGTGCAAAGTCCAGGATCTTTCTGCTTGACCAGATAAAAAGAATCTCACAAAATCTCTTGATTTTTCTATTTTGGTTTGGCCCTTCTCAGTTGATGCCGAGGAAATTCTTCATAAGAAGCGCTTCGGTGCCGACTTCGATGATCGGCCCTTACCTCCCAAGGCGAAGCCCTGTGAACCGATGTACTGAGCTGTCTTGAGTGGTGGCCATGGGGTCGTGGCCCTGCTACAGGTGGTTTGCTTAGTGGGCTTTCATACTCAAGCAGATCCACTCTCTTTGAAGAGGCCGGTGGCGCCAGTTGACAAGCCGCAATGTTGTTGGATTTTGGTAGTTGTTGGATATGTCTGTGCCTACTTGGTGGTTACCATGTGCCATTCCAATTCCGTTGCAGCAAGGAAGATCCTCTCGCTTTGTGGGTATTCCTCTGATGAGCTGGCCAGACTGTTCGGAGACCTATGGGCCAAGATTCAGATGTGAAACCATATGCATTTTCTGCAAGAAGTCATGGAGTCAAAGAGCCAAGATCGAAATCCAAGATGTTTGATTAATTTGGTCTTTAAGGCTTCCAATTTCTTCAATCTGGAATTCCGAAAGTTACCACTTTTTACATGGATTTGTCATTGATGTTTGATGGCTTTTGGATTTTGGGATACCTGCTACACAATCTACACAGTTCCAGCAGAAGTCTCAGGCCGCCCCATCGACCAGCTGTTGCAGCTCTTCCAAACTGGGCTCAGGCACTGAGTCGCTGGGGCTGCGAGGTGCTTGAATGCTTGGTTTCAAGCAGCTGTTTTTAGTTTAGTTGAAGGATTTAAATTTATATAGATGATTTGACTTTGCTTGTCATGGATTGTTATGGGAGGTTACACAGGCTAGTCATGTTTGGACAGGCAGATTCTTATGTATATGTGTATAATATATATATATATGTATATGTGTGTATATATATAATGTATATACATCTGACAAATGATATGTTATATATACTTACATAACTGTACATATATACATATATCATTATATATATACACACACATATGTACAGCTGTTTGTCATTATGATTAAACGAGCACAGTCATCGGCCCAGGGTCCTGGGATGGGGAAGCCTCGAGCTGGGATGCTTAGACTGGCTTAGATCGGACATGATGAGATTAATGGTCAGGGATCCTGGACCCGCAGGTCATTGACAAGGACACCATCGTGATTGCTCATGGTTTGCGACGATTTAGAATGACTAATCAATTCACATCCAAAGAAGAACTTCGGATGCCTATTAGACCACACACACACACTGCATGTGTTCTTCATTGTGATTCCATGTGGATTTATTTCCCTCAAGGATTCGAAACCGAGGTGCTGAAGAAAGCACAGACTTGGCAACCGCTTTTCTATCCACTCAACTTCCCCACTGCCAGAGTGATACAGGGGAATGAATGGTAATGAGACTTACTTAAATATACATAAATATCCGAATATATACGAATAGTTGATCTATTTTTCTCCATACTCCAAGCTGACTCTCCAACTTGGGAGACCTTGATCGATCCGGAGTTTTGGTGCAAATTCTCTTGGCAATCAGGTTCTGTTGATCGACCCTCCAAGGACAGTTTTTGGCGCCAGTGGCTCAGGAAACGTACGTGATAGAAATATCCGTGGACAAAGGTCAAAGTATGCGAAATGCAAGACACGGGTCTTAAATGGTCTTAAAGTATCTTGAAGTGCTTCATACTGAATTTATGCTTCTCACCAGAGCAGCAGAACGAATTGAGGAATGCGAAAGATCAAATAAAATCAAAGTATATCCTTTACAAATAGCACTGGAGGTCTACAGAAATGGCAAAGGACGCTCTCCACCATCGTTAGGCTTGGCTTTGAGCCGATACTTTGAGGTGCTGGATGCCGCAAAATGTGCAGATGTGGTGCTGTGCGTTGTGGGGCCGCATGCAAGCTTGGAGGACAGAATCTTGTCACCTTGCGGGGGCATGCTCAACTGGCCCAATGATATGAATATGTTTGTATGCAAGACAATTGTGGTACTTTGTGATGCTGCTGTGGTTTTGCCATCTTCCGCAGGGAAGGAGATATGTGACTCAGAAAGAGCTTTTGATTCACAAGGAGCCGGCCTTCGACGACCTTGGATATAAGACGCTGACTGTGGGGATACTGAGTTTCTGACTTCTGTGGGAGTAGCCCTGAACCGGAGACACTTCAATTCACCCTGTCTTTTGTCACAAGGAATGCAGCCATTGGCAGAGTGCTATGAGTGCTATGTAATTTTAGGCAGGGATAGAAAATTTCTAAGATGATGAAAACATTTATGAACACCATGTTTATCCATCTCTGCTAGAGTGAGAAGATTGGAAGTTGTAAGTTGTCACCTCAACAAGGCAGGCTTGCCCCTGTCTTCCCAGGGTTCCATGAATGTCTCAGGCGCTGAAGGCCCAAGGGCTTCCAGTGGTATTTGGTGCAATGCATGGGCTTGGCACTTGGAGATTTGCAGATCAGACATATATGGGTATGGATCAATACCTATTAATACCATTTTTAGTGGGATGAACATCCATTTACCAGCTATTTTGACGTTCACCAGGGGTACAAGGTTTTGACCCATCCCCATATCATCATATACGATCATATATGATAATGCATGATCAGATTGAGATAATAGAGTTCCTGTAGAAGTCTTCTGAGCCACGGGTATCCACGGTGTCACATCATGTGGCCTTGAGCCCTAAGGGCAGTCAAAGTTTCCACCTCCAATAGTTCCCAAATCAAGGACTCCTGCGTGATACCCAACATCCGAGGTCAGAGACTGTAATGGACACCTCTGCCAAGAAACAGGCCGAGGCAGCATAAAGACATTTCAGCCAAAGTCATGGAACTGGGTGTGTCGGAAATTAACTCCCCATACTCCCCAAATGGCTGTTTCATAAAGAAAATTATTATCCGATCAGTTGGAATGGGGGGTTACAGTAACTCATGTTCAGACCAATCCAACTATTTGGACATCTTCAAGGCCTCCCTTACAGCCCTGTGCAAACCGCAAGCTGGGCTTGAGGCCCGGAAGTTCGTCACACGATACTTCCACTCGGAATTGGGAGTTGTGCACTCAGCCGGAGATTATGTGAGTTGCTGCGTTCGACATCCCTGTTGGTTGCTGATTAGTTCGGAGGTTGTACTACCTATTTATTGGGATCATCATCATCATCATCATCATCATCATCCATGAACGGGAACCATCAAGTCTTTGGAAGGCACTTTGGTTTTATTGAATCTGGAGAAAAGGGCACCAAGGTGCTCGCCCATTCACCAGCAGGAACGCATGGCACCGTGGATTAATCTTGCGGGGACCACCTGCTCGCATTGCCCGTTTTGTCTTGGCGATGACTTTGTGTTGAGATGTGTCGAGCTTTCCCCCAGGCTGAAACAAGGCTATTTGCTGCTGGAACAGATGAGGAGGCATCCAGCAGACGCGTGTTCGTTGTTGAACCCCAAAAGAACAAAGTGTATACAAGCATGATAAGATATGATAAGCATCTCTTAGCATTATTTTTTACTTTCATCAGACATTGCAAGAGGCCAAAACCATGCTTCGAGCAGTCGCGGCATCTACACCCAAGGACAGTCTTCTGCCACGAACCTTTTTCTCACTTTTGCTCAGTAGGGAATGGGGGAATGGCATGATGATTATTGATGATTATTGATGATTGTTAATAGTTGTGGGTGTTGATGGGTCGTTTCTCATTCCCTACTAAGCACCCGTAAGCTTTTTGGAAGATCAGATCCTGAGGAGCTGACCTGGCGAGCAGGTAGAGGTTACATGCTGGCACAGGAAATCGAGTGACCCGAAAGAGTTACAGTGTCTCTGTCAGTGCGGTTGTGTTATGTTGTGTTATGTATGTCATATACAGTTGTACATATGTAATCATATGTATACATATGTTATATAGTTATATATGATTATCTATGTATTGTACACCAATTCGCACATTACACATTACACATTACGCATTCCACAGTACAAACACGTAGCATATAATTACTGGTTGGTGGTTTGGAACATGTTTTTCCCATATGTTGGGAATGTCATCATCCCAACTGACTTTCATATTTTTCAGAGGGGTCGGTCAACCACGAACCAGATTATATCATTCGGAGCACCGAGGTACTCTCCGCAGGAAGGCACCTTGAGCCTCAAAGGCTATGTCCGTGGACCTGGCTTCAGGTACGCACGGATGGACCATGGACAGCCCAGTTGTTTTATGGGAAGATGATAGGGAAATGATATTAAGCCATATTAAATACCATAGTAAACTAGTAAACCATACTAAATCAAGCTAAACAATAATATGGAAAATATGGGAAACACATACGAAACCATTTTAAGGATAGCCAATTTGCAAACCCATTTTCGCCAGGTGTTCCCATTTGGCTCATTTGACCGGTCATGGGGTTTGCGCCTTAGATGGGAGCAGACCGCCCTGGGGCCTTGTCGGGCTGGGCTACTGTAGCTTAGCTACTGAGATGTGCATCCCAGTTAGTAAGTGGTTTAAAGCCCATGCATGAGCCAGACAAATATACATACATACATACATACATACATACATACATACATACATACATACATACACACATACACACATACACACATACACACATACACACATACACACATACACACATACACAGATACACATATACACACACACTACACACACTACACACACTACACACACTACACACACTACACGCACTACACACACTACACACACTACACACACTACACACACTACACACACTACACACACTACACACACTACATTACATTACATTACATTACATTAAAGACATTACACTGCGCTACGCTACATTACATTACATTATATTACATTACATTACACTACGCTACGCTACGCTACATTACATTACATACATACATACATACATTACATACATTCCATACATCACATACATCACATACATTACATACATTACATACATTACATACATTACATTCATTACATTCATTACATACATTACATACATTACATACACTACATACATTCCATACATTCCATACATTCCATACATTACATACATTACATACATCACATACATTACATACATTACATACATTACATACATTACATACATTACATTCATTACATACATTACATACATTACATACATTACATACATTACATACATTACATACATTACATACATTACATTACATTACATTTACATTTACATTTACATTTACATTTACTTTACATTACATTACATTACATACATTACATTACATTACACTACACTACATTACATTACATTACATTACATTCCACTACATTACATTACATTACATTTCACTACACTACACTACACTACATTACATTACATTACATTAATACATACATACATATTGAACTGGGGTACTATAGCATGGTTTATTACGCACCTACTGTAACTGGGATGCAGCCCTTTTGGTGCAAATTGGCTCCTGTTTTGTCATACTCAGGACTTCGCGGTGGAGCGGATCAGCACTCTGAACGATCCTTGCCCAATTGCAGGGGCCTCAGGAAAGCCATGTAAAGCCAATAATATTCACCATCCCCAAAATCACCAGAAATGGGCCAATTTCATCCTCAAATGGTAGATGGTAGATATCTGGTTTGCCAACATCCACATAGAGCCTGAATCCTGACCCTTCCCGAAACCTGAGGCTTCTGGACACTCCACAGATGCCATGGCGGATGCTGCCGCGGAGAATGTGGTGGATGAGCTGGGCCCAGAACCCTGGCGTTCCGAAAGCCCGGCGTTGATGAGTTCGGCATGGAACATAGGAGTTTCAACAATCAAAATAAAGGGATATAAGATGATATTAGTGGATAGAACTGATAAATGATGCTTGATGATTCGTTTGGGGGTGATATTTACCCTTTATATTTTTATTTTTATTTTTTGAGGATTATCATCATCCATGACCTTGAAATCCTGTGCTTAAGCTACCAGGTTCGCGTGAATGTGATGCATGAAGCTTCAACTCCACCTGCAGCACTTCTCAATTTCGCAGCAGAGGAAGCAGGTAGCAATCATGAGATTGCAATTTTTATGAAAAACCTTGATAATGGATCGTGATAACTTATAATCTGTTTCCTGACTTTTTGTCTTATGTTTGTGTTCACATTTTCACGGCACTGACTGCTGACAAATGCTGACAGCACAGACAATTGGATTGAATCGCTTGTCGCCAGTAGATTTTGCCACTGTAAATGGCAGTTGATGACAGCTGCAGCAATGGCACTGATGAAAAGGCCGATATCGCCGATATCGGCACAGCTGATGCAGTGGTCAGCTTGGGTCCAAACTGCTTGCCTGCCTACCACATCGCAAAGGCAACAAGTTGTTTTTCTCCTGGTCATGTGTCGGTCACCGTTTGTGTTGGTCCTTGAATGATGAAGAATATCTTGACCGTGACTGAAGACAGTTCCAAACAGTGTCATTTGAATCATTCAGCCATTAAAACTCATTACAGTATATAATACTATATCATATCCATTCATTGGACCACTAATAGTTATCAATGGCCATCAGTATCCATTCATGACCCTGTTTTCATGTCTAGGCTGGCTTCAAGCGCCGCTCCTTTCCATTCGATGTGCTCATGACTGGATCTGATGGCTGGAGCGCGGAGGAGCACCTTGCCACACCTGGTGGGGCACGCTTCAGATTTGGGTTTGTTTGAAAATGCCATAAAGACCCAGAACGTCATTTATATAATATACATATCTATTTATTGGTTTGTTTGTTTCTGTTTGTTTATCTATTGATTTTGTTTATCTACAGGGAAGATGGTGACAAACCGAAATTTGGGGAAGCCTATTTTCCCACAAGCCAAATGTACATGGTGACTTCTGGAAGCCGACTGACATTGGTCCAGAAAGAGATGAGGTCATCGATTCGACTGGCACCAGTGGGACTTCAACTGGTCCTGGAAACTTCGAATGCAGGACATACCACCAGCATGCTGAAAGTTGCCGTATGATGTAGCTAAGTCTACAACAGGGGGGGTTGAAGCATGTTAAAGCAAGATCTAATGACATATACATATTAACTATATATAACCATATATCATACATATATATATATATACATAATTATATATAATTATATATAAAGAAAAGCACATTAGTTCGAAGTGTTTGTGGCAATAGGAGAATAGAACAGAATAGGCCTTGGTGCTGATCTCTTCAATCTCTCAGATTCTTGCAAAGAAGTTGCTTCTCTTTGGACTTGCATGGACTGCCAGATGCAAAGGATCTATATTCATGGGGGCTGGGGGGGGCTATTGGGGGGGGGGGTTATGAGCTTATCATTATAAGAGCTGGTTAGTATAAGCACCTATTAGGGTCTTATTAGACCTTTATTAAGGCTGGATAAGGGCTTATTAAGGCCTTATTAAGGGGTTATCATCTAAAGCCTTATTAAGGTCTTATCCCCCATGGATAGCTGAACTTCCTTATCCACTGCTTATCCTAAAAATGATGGATGATGTAAGCCCACATCTGAACAAGGAAGAGGATTGTTTCTGGCCATCTTACCGTGGCGAAGTTTTTGTAGACTTCGCTGAATTCTAGACAATATGAGATCTAACGGTGGGTTTTGGCGATTGTCTTCAGATGTTTCTTTTTGGTTTTTGATGATTCTGTTTTTTTTTCGATTTTTTGTGTGATTCGTGTTTCATTTCCGTGACGTTTGATGTTTTTCTGTGATTTTGAGTGGTTTCGCATGGTTTTTGGTTTGTATATATAATGTTTTTTTGAGGATTTGTGTGGATTTGGTGCCCTGAAGGTCATTTTCGGGGGGGTCTATGGTCAAATAGGTGCTGTTTCCCTGCTTATCCACTGCTTATCCACCACTTAGGGTTAAGCAGTGGATAAGCCCTTATTAAGCTCTTATTAAGCCCTTATCCTCTCACCCCAATCCAGGTCAAGTGACCCATTTGCGTGCAAATTGCCTGCCTTGGGTGTCGCCTCCCCGCTTTGAGTCTTTGATTTCTTTTTCACTATCTTGAATACATGGGCCATGCGTTTGCCAATAGACTGTCTATCCCTGGAGATTAAGTTGCATTTTTGTTCTTGCTTGCTTGTTTCTAGCAAGCCTTGCCCATGCCACTCGAGCCAAATCCTGGTACCTCTCAATTTTGCAATAAATAACAACACACCAACCTCTCCAAACATTTCTTGCAGAACAGAGTCATCATTGGCTTATCCATAGCTTATCCAGGCTTATCCACAGACCCCCCCCCATAGACCCCCCCAAGTTTCCATGATATATAGTGTTTGCCACTTATTTTTGGAACAGATGAGGTCGTTTTCTCTAATAGTGAACTTCCAGTAGTGAACTTAGTGTCCAGCATCAAAATTGAGGAATGCCTGGAACGAAATCCTCCATTCTCTGACTATGTCTCAACGATGACTCCTTTGCCCAGCATAAATGCAGTGGGCAATGCCGGCTTCACAGATCCGGAGTTTATCCCCTCAGTTCCTGTGTTTGCATTTTTGATGTAACCAATGGATTTCTAAGGAGATCTATATATATATGTACATAGAGAGAGAGAGAGAGGGAGAGTCTAGTTATATCAATCTAATGTTATTATATACATTTACATATATATATACAGAATGTTGTATACATATTGTATGTATGGTATGGTATGGTAATGTAATGCAATGTCATGTCATGTCATGTCATGTAATGTAATGTAATGTATGCATGGATGTATGTAATGTTATGTTATGTAATGAAATGTAATGTTATGTAATGTAGTGTAGTGTAATGCAATGTAATGTTATGTAATGTTATGTAATGTAGCGTAGCGTAGTGTAATGTAATGTATGTATGTATGTATGTATGTATGTAATGTCATGTAATGTCATGTAATGTCATGTAATGTCATGTAATGTCATGTAATGTCATGTAATGTCATGTAATGTCATGTAATGTCATGTAATGTAATGTCATGTAATGTCATGTAATGTCATGTAATGTCATGTAATGTCATGTAATGTCATGTAATGTCATGTAATGTCATGTAATGTCATGTAATGTCATGTAATGTCATGTAATGTCATGTAATGTCATGTAATGTCATGTAATGTCATGTAATGCATGTCATGTCATGTAATGTCATGTCATGTCATGTCATGTCATGTCATGTCATGTAATGTCATGTAATGTCATGTAATGTAATGTAATGTAAGTATGTATGTATGTACGTACGTACGTACGTATGTATGTATGTAGGTAAGGTAAGGTAAGGTAAGGTAAGTTTAGGTTAGGTTAGGTTAGGTAAGGTTATGTTGTGTTGTGTTGTTATGTAATGTAATGTAATGTCATGTCATGTCATGTCATGTCATGTCATGTATGTATGTATACATACTGATCAAAAGACTCCATAGTAATTCGGACAATTGCCAGATAATGGAGTTCATGCAGCTTACGAATCATCCACATGTCCAAGATAAAGGCCTCGCACGATCTTTGCCAACACTTTTTTCCGAGGCCCATATTCACGATGACCCTCGGGAGCCAGAGGTTGCAGCGAAATATCAGCGCAGGGCGGATCGCTTTCTTACTCTCTTGGAATCTGGCTACCGAGTGCTGTTCATTTACACCATGAGGCTCAGAGAGTTGAAGGACCCAAAGCACTTCATCAACGTTGCGCATCGCTTGCCCCTGCAAGTTGCGAAGCTTAGGCGTTGACAATGCGGGCGGATTGTTTTTGGATGGCTTTGGCAGGTTTCGGCGATGCTCACAGATTTGTCAACAAACAAAAGACTGATTTATCCCAAGAAAGCTGCTCAAACGAAAGGCTTTACAAAATGTGGCAAGTGAGATCAGAGGGTATTGCGTGAATTGCATGTGCCATTTCTTTCTCGAACTTGGAGATCTCCCCTTGGCAACACATTTGGGCTTTGCCGCTTGAGCTACAAACTGCACTGAACTCTGGCACTCCTTGTCATGGAGAGAAAGAGAGGAAACTACTGGACATGATGACAAAGGATGTCATAGGTACCCTGAATCCGCTGTTTAATCATGATTGTCCCTATTCAAATGGTCAGAGACGCCCAAATACCCCACTTTTTGGGGATGAAATCAGGGGAGCGCCAGGGAATTGCTGGTGCGGCGATGGCCTAGCAGCCTCAACCATCTTCTGGTAGTGGTGCTGGGAGAACTTCCACCGGTGCCGCCAGCGCAGAGGGCTTTGGAGGCACGGATTTCATGGGATTTCATCAAGAAAATTTATGGAACATGGTGATTTAACCATCAAAAAATATGGATTTAGGCAACTAAATTCACCAAGAAAAAATACGGGAAAAAAGACTTTGAACCAACTAAAATTGGGATAAAGAATGGGAATTCAAGCAACTGGATACTGTATGAGATATATAGCCAACATTAGCCAACACTCTGGGGTATTTGGGTCTGTCCAAAAATGTGTTTCAGCCCCTTGACATTTCATTTTTAGGGTGGAATGATGATTAACTAGTGGATGTTGGATACACTGTTTTAAGACAACACACATATTCAATGGAAACACTGGCAGTTTGTGATATCATATCCGTCATATCCAATTTTCATTGCAAGCTCATTGTGAGCCAGTCTAGTTGGGCGTGTCTGAAAATAGGGATATGCACCCAAGAATTAGAATTGTAAAGGGGAATTTGATGATAGTCAATCAACATTTTGAGGATTTTTCTATTTTTCCCGAACTCTTCAGAGAAACCCCAGCTGGTGAGGCATGTTTGAGTCGTCTACGCAGCGTGAACCAGTCCAAGGTAACTAGCTCAATGATATCTTGATGGTTTTGTCTGTTCACATTTCGGGTAAACCCATGGGAAACTCCCAATTTTTCGTAGTTTATCATGGTTGATCATCATTTTCCCAGAACTGATTGCCATTTTAAGGGTATACCACATTTTCAGAGACACCCTGTCAGCAAGTTGAAGAGCATGATTGGAAGGTTTGATTTCTTGGGAAGATTATCGCGGCTGGGTATTGTATGGTAGTTTGGACTTAAAGATCAGGCACGAGGGTGTCCGCAGTGGCTGGGTATAGATTTTTGGGGGGGACTTGAAGAACTGACGACAGGCGTGAATTGAGCAAAGATGTTTTTAGTAAAGATGTTTTTAAGTTTGGATGTCAAGATCTTGCAACAAGAACTGTTTTGTGTCCAAGTATCGTCACAGATCTGACCACATCGATCGAACATCAATGCATCTGAAAATGGAGAATGTCATGAAATACCCCAAAACTACCAGCATATTCATAGGAAAAACCTGGAAAAACTATGATGAACCTTCAGACTTGGGGCATCTGCAGCATCTCTAACTTCAGAAACTGACATCCCAACCGAGGATCCTTGGGTGATGGTTCGCCGTATTCCAGATCTACCAAAAGTGCCCGGTGACCCCATGGCTGGCTTCTGGGGTGACGACAAGGCTTGGACAGCGGCTTGGATTTCTTGGGTAAAAGCCTGTTTCTGTTCGGTTCCAAAAGTCCTGTGGCATAGTTGCAATGTTTGTGAATCTGCTTTGTTCCACTTTGTACCAAGGATTTGTTCAGCGAATTTGTAATCAAGCCCAAAGATTTCAGCGAGGCACGTTGTGTATGTTTCGGATTGTAGCGGAAAGTAAGGCAGAATCACTTTTTCATGCTACACTATATATAGTTTTGTGATGTTTTATGTTTTCAGCATTGGAACTCCACTCATCTTGTAAAGGGTTTCGGGCTTCTTCTCTTCCAGGAGCACAATTCTGCCAGCATTTTGCGCCCGAAAGGCTTGCTTTCAAGAGACCACGGTGCTTGGGAGCAAATCTGCAGACGACAAATCTGGCTTCGAAAAGTTCGTAGATTCCTTGAAGATGATTCATCCAGCTTAGAGCAGACCCCAAACTGGGCGAAACCGGTGAAGAAGTTCTTGGTCGCCTCCACTGCCAAGACTTCCACAAGAAAAGACAGGAGAAGGAGTACAAGTCGAAGATGACCCTGTCGGCCATCACCCACAAATCCCCAGGAGCAGTGGAAGGAGCTGTGTTTGGGCGGTCAGAGGAACGAAAAAGACTCGCAAAGCCGTGTACGGCCTTGGGGATTACATGAGTTGAGTTACCGTTTGCTCATCTTGTCACCAGCGCCACCCCATCGGATGTCGCCCTGGCTCTGAGGTATGAGGGAGTTGGATCTCGAAAGGCAGAGCTTTCGGGACATGTTCGATGCACCAATCCATGGATCACCCCCCATCTGAACATGGCTGGGTTGCTGGATGTACATTGTGCGTAGAAAGTAATGAATCTGTGACGCATCATGACACACATCACTTTTTACTTGTAGAATGAAATACGTCATGGATGTAAAAGTCGAAAGCTGAGAAGGTTGCAGCCTTACGACCCCACCATGGCTGAGCAGACTTGGCCATCGATCGAGGAGTTTGCAACTTTGAGCAAAACTGTAAACAACTGCAAGTGATGTCAGATTGTAAAAATTGGTAGGCTTCATTCAAGCATATTCCCACATGATTCAGCTACGAGCTTCAACCTGATTCGTTTATCAAGTCTGGATCCGCCATATGGGAGCCGTCCGTAAAAGCAGGTAACAAATTTATGAATTGATGCGTTTACTCTGCTTTGCGCGATTGCCAAAACCTGCATCGCGATAGGCTGAGCGATTGGTTGGCGATTGGTTATACGGCTACGACGACGACGGCGACGACTACTACTACTACTACCACTACCACCACTACCACTACTACTACTACTACTACGACTACTACTACTACTACTAATCTGCTACTACTAATCTGCTACTACTAATCTGCTACTACTAATCTACTACTACTACTTCTACTACTTCTACTACTACTCTTAGTACTACCACCACAGCCGCTGCTACTGCACCACCACTACCACTAGTACACCTAGGAATTTCTGCCTTTGCTTTTAAATCCAATTGACACGAGTCCCGCTGAAGGGTCAGAAACCAGTCAGAAACCCGTCAGAAACCGGCCAAACGCAACCATCTGTTTCCCCCCTCCCTCCCTCCCTCTCTCTCTCTTTCTCTCTTTCCCTCCCTCTCCCTTTCTTCCCTTGCCCTGCTACTAGAACTCCTACTCCCATTCCTACTACTCCTACTCTTACTCCTACTCTTACCCCTACTACTACTACTACTCCTACTACTACTACTACTGCTACTACTACTACTGCTACTACTACTACTACTCCTACTCCTACTACTACTACTACTACTAAAACTACCACCACTACCACTACCACTACCACTACCACTACCACTACCACTACCACTACCACTAGCACTAGCACTAGCACTACCACTACCACTACCACTACCACTACCACTACCACTACCACTACTACTACTACTACTACTACTACTATTACTAGTACTACTGCTGCTGGTACTACTGTGAGTTTTCCGGACCGTTTCCGGACCGCGCAAGCTTATTTTGCTCCCAAATTTGAAATCGAATGCGTTCACGCATGGATCCTTACTCTCATTACTGGCAAACATATTTCAAATTCAGCAGAAAAGCAATGATATTACAAAATATTACAAAGAATTAGCATAAGATTTTTGTCACGATTCATTATATAATACATAACTTATATTTTATGTATATGATCTGATCAACGAAGAACAAACCCTTCCGCGATTGCTCACTGTGGTACCGCGGTTGCTACGCGATTGGCTGAGCGATTGAGGGCTGTCCGGGAAAAGGTATTTTGGACAACCCCCATATATAGTGAGAATGATTAAGCAAAAATGATCAAACATGAAGAAACTACTAGAACATAGATTCGCAACCAGTTTCCCTGTGCCTCTGGCTAAACCATCGCATACATCCTGCAGGAACTGGAAGCGCAAAAGAAAGATGCTGCCTCCAAACCTCGACACAAGAGCCGAGGCCAAGACCCTAAATTCGATCGACTGAACAGCTGAGATGAGGAAAAGGTAGCGTTTTCAGATGTTTCCAGATGTTTTCAGGGTATCTGGGACCGGACCTTAGAAATCAGCAGTTTTCATCAGCGTCGTCCATTCGTCCAGGTGGTGGAAAGATCCCTGCCCCAGGTGAGGCTGCGGACGTAGCGGGCGTAGCGGGGGCCGGCACCTCAGAAGGCGCAAGCAAGGCAGAGGTTATGACATGTTATGACCATGAAATGACCTGAGGACGATGATGATGAGATGGGTGCATGCCCTAGCCTAACCAGAGCTTGGTCGAATTCTCCAGATTTGAATTAGCTTATAATATCTTATAATATATATTATCCAGATATCCAGACGCTAATATTTTTTAATAATTTATATAGCGTACATTAGCGTACTATTAGCTACCTATATTCTTCACATGCGAATCGTTCTTAACCTCAGGGGATGAAGGAGATGAGGAGCAAATGGCAGACGAAGGCTTGCGGCCGGAAAATCGGACCGACTTCTTTTGTCAGCAAGTAATAATTACTATCATTATGACCATTAATGCGATCATTATGTTTATTACCATACGTATTACGTTACTATCATGATCATTGTCATCATTATCTATTATCACTAAGATTATTGTTACTATTATAATTAGGTGCTATTAATTGCTATTATGTTTAATATCATCATGATTGATGTTTGAGGCCTCCGAGTGTTCAAACTCGCAGACAACACCAGGCTCTGAGGATGGAGCATCAGTTGCTCCCAGCGGCATGGCCGGTACGGAGGACCACTGGGATGTAGGTGACCCAGCATGCTGTTGATGAGCATAACTATAATTACTATAATAATTATTGGTTTGATAGTGTAGATAAATAATGATAAATAATGATAAATATCCATATATATATATAATTATATATACTTATCATAAAGCTATACTAAAAAACAGCACTTGTATCCATTAGCCAACCATAACTATAGCCATTCATAGGGTATATCCATAGTTCTTATACCATTAATATCCATTAACCATGGCCTTTTTCTTAACGCTTTCACCGTTGCCTGAGGTCTCCAGTAACATGACAATGGAGGTGCCCACCTCGGAGGTGATCGCGGCAGAGAAGCGACGTCGGGAGGCGGGAGAAATTGCTGTGGAATGGGTTCAGAACTATATATTATATTTATGTATGTATGTACTATATACTATATATATATATATTCTATATACTATATAGCTATATATATAGAGTAAGAACTCTCCGTAGCCAGTAGTATGCCAGCACAACAAAGATATCCAAAGCTGGAAGAGCAGACGATTAGATGTGACTGGAATCTGGATGTGGAAGATTCATGTATTGTGTATACAGAGGTTTCTTAAGTCACGGTACCCCCAAATCACCCATTTTTTTGGGTGGATTTTCCATTCTAAACCTTCCAGCTATTGGGTACTCCCCCATTTATGGAAACCCCGAGTCATTGCTTTGGAATTGGTTCATATTGGGGGGTTCTGAAAATGGAGGATCCCGGAGTCACGATAGGTCCTATAGGTTTAACTACTAAGTCATGGTCTAATGACTGAATGATTTGGGGGTTAGCCCAATGACTTAGGAAACCTCCATATCGGTGGAAACATTTTCTAACTGAAGGATCCCATGACCAGCAGATCTCGAGGTGCTACTCCAACGCAGTGAGGAGGAGCTGGAATTTCCAGATGAGGCCGATAGAAAACTCACCAGTCACCACTTTACATGAGTCTGAAACTGGGGCATACTCGTACGTGGTACAGTATACTCAAAATATCGGTATAACATGTATTTCAATAGGCAAAAGGATCATTCACCATCAATTTGGAAGTGGCTTATTTTGAGACAAACCCACATGTAGAATTGAAAGGAGAGCAAAAACATGCAACTCTCCATTGCCGCATCAACAGGGGGGTTTTCCATTCTCAACCTTCAGCTATATACTCCCCATTTATGGAACCCCCCAGGCCGTAGCCAGGTGGATACACCCCTTGAAGTGCCAGCCAGAGAAAGATTTCAGAGGCAGGGTCCGTGGGTAAATTGCCCATGGGGGTGGTCATCAATCCATACATGGGAATACCCCACTACAGTACACATATATATATATATACATATACACATATGTATATATATATATTCATATGTATATATATATATACCACACTAATCCCATGTTTTGACCATGGCACACATGAAGTACAGACTTTTGCCATGCTTTGCAGACGTTTTTCAGCATATGTTCAATTCCTGAAGGTACCGCGGTCTCAAGAGTTTCCGAACCTCAAGCTGGGATCCTTATGAAGATCTACCTGTGGAGCTACCAAGCTGAATTGGACAACTTTTGCATAAAGAGTACAGCACGTGCAGGTAAAAGGGGCCTGCAGAAAAATGTTCGAGGTTTATTATTTTTTAAATGTGTAGTTCTCCAAAAGAAGGCAGAACGTGCAAGCATACAAACAAAAAGGCGCACATTTCATACAATCAATTTGTGCTTGCTCATGTTTGCTGTGATTTTTTGGATTGATTTCGACGTCATATTCTGTTGCTGATTGTCAATGGTGCTAAAATCACACAATTTGCTCGACATCAGCAAGAGCTGAAGTTTCATGCACAGTGCAATTGAAGGATATAGTATGATTTCTTCAACAGGCCTTTTCAGGAGTATGGAAGTTTGCGGTTTTCAGGTAGTACTCGTACAATGCAGTACTGGTACCGAAATTGACATAATACGACTTCCATTTTACATCATCTTACACTTGTACGTTGGACGTCCGTTCTCGGTTCCAACGCTAAGTTTATCCACTCAGGTATTCGCGAATTTGGGAGTTTGAAGCCTTCGGCTCAACGGTCGTGGCCTTTTGCAGCACAGGGAATTGTTCATGGACATGTTTGGCCGAGAACCGTCTTTGGCCCTCGGGACTTGAAATTCATTTCTTACTCATAGCTTCAGGAAGGGAAACGGTGAGAGTCGAGTCAGTCAGGTTCCTGAAGATAGTCGAGGTGTTGGTTGAAATATGTTGAAATGCTGAAAATATGGAACCTGGGAAATCCAGTACAAGTGGTGCGACCAGGACGTAAACGTTTGATGTTCGCGGAATCTACGCAAAGAGGTGAAACTGGTTGGAAGCAGTTAGAGCCTGATTGCAAAAGGATTTCGGACACCCTTACCGTAATGAATTGCCAGAGTGAGACAACCATCCTTCATGCACAAGGCACTTCTTACCATTGTGCTTTTAAAAGTAGATAGGTAAATAATGATGAATATATAATTGGATAATATATTGTGTTCAGCTAGGGCTTTCTGATTGCCCTTGCATTGCGGGAGCTCACAAAATTGTGCTCGGTCCTTGGCTCCCTGCAGATTTATGTAGAGGGTTTGGCCCAGCAGTTGCTCGGGCAGCCCAGCAGTTGCCAAAGTCCATCAACAGCCCCACTATCTACTGACACAAAGAGCATCAAACATCAAACTTAACTCTCCAAATCGCCATGGCCGCCGTTGCCATGCCTCCTAGACCTTCAACTTCAGGTGAGTGGCATGTAGATTTTGCTCCAAAAACGCGCGTAAATTCCGTGTGAATGTACGCTGTTTTGTGCGGTTTTGTTTTCTCCACATTCCAAGTATTTCCCAGTTCTAGGTGGAAGAAGATATGTCAGACCCACCATGGAGCAGAAGGTTCCCCTGCCAGGCCGGATTTTGAAACAATTCCCCCCATCAACGCCCAACAATCCCCAGCTTGATGATTTGCCTGTTTGAAACTAAGGTACCCCCAAATCCACCAATATTGATCCTCACATGTTTTCCAGTGTTTTTTTCCTGGAAATGTTCATATAAATCGACAGTATACCCCCATTTTTGGACAAACCCCAGCTTGATGATTTTGATGATTTTTGCTGACATGTTTCAACAATCGATCCCTTTGGCGGCAGACTCTAGACCTAGCACATCTGGCGAGAGAAGGCAAGATGTTGGGACGACCGTTCTGTTCTGAGGAAGAACATGGAAGAACATATGGTTATGGGTCATAATGGGGGTGGCAATGGACCCGCCAAATTTGCAATTGTTCGTTCATAGTTCATGTATTTTCCCACCATTTCCACCTTTTTTTGATAGTCTTGACCCAACATACCTATGGCGTCCAGCCTCAACGGACCAGGTGTGCAACTCCTTCAGCTCCTAGCCCTGCTGGGTCCCTAGCGATCCGAGCGGCTCCCGATCGTTTGCCTCGCAATTGAAGAGTGGTTGTTTCCGATGTGGTGAAAACGCCATGTTTTTTGGATGTGGATTCCTCTTGGAATAGTGCATGTTTGGTCATGTTTGTATTTTGTTATGTCTTTCGACCATCGTTTTTCAGGGTTCAGCGCATTTGTATGAATCTGTGTTGTTCTGCAGAAGTTGGGTGGACGGCTGCTGTATGGATTCGTATGACATTTCCTATGTATCTCCGTGAGCTTTCCCTGGTTGCTTCACATCGGCGCTCAAAACGCTGCTCCGGCACCAGTCGCGGATCATGTGACAATTTGGATGATATTATATATATATATTTATTATTTATTTATTTATTTATTTATTTATTTATTTATTTATACATTATTGTCATGTGTCTTGGTCGTGGAAGGGAATGTACAATGATATACAATGCTGACGTCACGCTTCAGAGAGGAATGCCACAAGGGGGCGGTTGGTTAGGGGAGTGCGGGGTGGCTATTAATGGGCGACAAAGTTAGTGCCCGTTGATGATGCTATGCTGCAGACAAGAATGCTTAAAGGCAGGGAGCTGGATAGGTGGGGGGTTGCTATTAAAGTCCACTTGGTGTTGCATACTGACGCAAGATGCATCTTGACGCCACATTCCTTAAAGTTGACTTGCATTTGCGCACATACTAATCTGATGCGCATGAAGAAGATGCTGACTTCCTAATTTGATGGGAAAGGCTTTCAGCTCCGTCCAACCGTGGTTGTTTTGTCAGGGTTGCTTTCTGCTTACATGTCTTGGATCATCTTGGATTTGAGTCTCTTAGTTCAAGAAGGATCATGGTTGTAAAGAGCTAGTAGCAGCTAGCATGGCTTTTGATAGAACAGTTTCTGCTTTTGTGTTATTTTAACAGCCTTTACTGTACCAGTTGATGCAGCCACAACGTGCATTCCAATCTTGCGGAGAACGACTCTGTGCTGAGGGCAGACAAGATGGAGCGCCGACAGCAGCATCCGAGGCCTACTCAGATGATGAAACTCTGCATGTTGGCATTCTCTGTCTCCGGTATACCACCATGAACACAGTTGCCAAATAAAATATATTACAGTATTATGCTATGATATAACAAAGTAGAAATATTACGACCCCACTACCCCCACTGTATAGTCTACTTATAGTGCACTACATACTGTAGCTATGATTCCAACTTCCCAATAGTGTTGTACAGTGAATATACCCAAATGCAACCTATAGCTAATCGCAATAGCTGTAGGTAGAGCCTGTAGTCTAGGTAGGAAGTACTCGTAGTATCCTGTATCCACCTGGGTCGGGGTCTACAGTAGCCTTCCGACGTTACATGGCTCAAGCGCCCAAGTCAAAAGGGCGTTTGCTGATTGTTGATGTTGAGGAGTTCAACTTGGTTGTTTTCTGGTTGTTCCCCTCTTTTCTCTGGTTATCTGCCGTATTGATTTTGTGTTTCGTTTTTGCTGGGAAAGTCTTGAACTCCTCAACAGGTAACTTAGGCCCCACGCATTTTCGTTCACTGTCTTTCGCACTTCGCTGATTGCCAATTGCCGTTTCACCAGTGTATGGCTCCAGAGAATCAGTCGGAAGGGGCTGCTTTGAGCGCCCCTGAGCCAGTTGGCGAGAGCACACCGCCGGACGAGCCGGAGGCAGCTGAAAGCACCGAAGGACCGCACTAGTGTTCCAAGCATCCCCATAAGTTTTGGACCGCCTGTGACGGCAGAAATTCCCCCGGGACTGCCGTTGACTTCTAGTGCCATTGTCCCCCTACAGTCGGGTATAGTTCAAGCTAATCCCGTCCCAGCACCTAGTGCTGTGCAACTTCATGTTGATACTGTGGCAAGTGGACAGAGTACCAATGAAGATCTACAGGACCAAGTTTCAAAACTAATGCAAGTGTTGCATACACAAACACAACTTGTAGCTCAACTGCAAGCGAAAGCGCCAATGTCCATAGCTCCACCACCTAGCACCCCTCAAGCTTTGGCCGCGGGAGGTGCTGCTCTGAGCGCACCAAGCGGTTCTAGACGTAGCATCGCTGCCAATGCGCCTTTGCCACAGGTGTTGCCACCGGGTTTGCCGCCGTTACCCTTAAACAGACCAGGTGTTTTACCTCAGGGGGCTCCTTATGTTTATAACTCTGGGTCCCAACGTTCAAGACAATCGGGTAGTTCTGAGTCCTCTTCAGATTCTGATGCTGGGCCACCCCCACCTAATCCATATACTCAATGTAGGATTGTGGGGGATTTTCATGATGAAATTAACTGCCCAACTTTGTCTATGAACTTTTATGGGGAAAATGCTCCGGATCAAGGGCCTGATCAAGATAACACCATTAGAGTCAAGTCACTCAATGATTTGGGTTTTCCCTAACCCTCCTGATAATGCCGGTCAAGCTAGGGGATACGTTAATCAGGTCTTCATGGCCATCGGTAAGCTACAGAAAACCCCAGGTAGCGAAGTCTACCAATGGGCCCAAGAATGTTTGACATCCACTGAAGCATTGCTAGAATCCGATCCCCGCTTCACGCGTACGGATCGAGAAATCGCCTCAAAGCTTATCAAAACTTGCCGACGGGGTAGATTTGGCTTAGTTTCTCAGCAAATGGTTGAATCTGAACGCCTCTCCACCGGCTCCATGCCGTGTGGAAGAGTTCTGCTCAAAAAGATCTTTCAATATTTCCAATTGGAACGCGATAGAATCGGCATGTTATGTGAGCGTAACTTGTTGTCACTTCGCATTCCAGGGAATACACATCAAGATCTAGAGGCCTTCAGAGACAACAATCTTTATGTGATGTCAACCATACCGGTTCAAGATTTACCGCGGGAGCAAACTCTTTTTAACCACTTAATTGATGAGCTCGAGCGTACCCCTATCATGGCTCATAAGGTGTTGAAAGCCCGTGAGGCCCCACTTCATAGCCATCGCAGAACGACTAACTGGTTGTGGGAAAAAGGAGAGTTGGTTCTCCAACTTGACCAGCAACGCAAGAATATCTTGGAACCTAAAACCCAAAAGTAGCAGCAGCCCCTGCCACCTCTGATGCTAAGGCCGCCCCTAAAGGTAAACCTAAGATACCAAAACTAAGGCGGACAAAGACAAGAAGGTAGAGGCTGCTCCAGCGCCTCATGCCAAAGCCAAGGCCAAACCAAAGGCTAAGGCCAAGGGCTCCAACACTGCTTCACCACCGCCAAAGGCAGGCGCAATCACTCCTCGGAGTGCGGAGGCCACAAGGGTCGCCAATATGACCCCGGCTCAGAAGGCTAAAACCCCATGCATGTTTTATGCCTATAACGCTTTCAAGGCGAAGCAGTGCGCCTTTTGGCACTCCGCCACCTGAAAAGTACAAGGGGCCCCCGCCCCGGGCAATGGCCAAAAGTAAGTCTGCTTCCAATGTCCCAGCCAGAATGGCAACTGTAAATGCTGGTACTGCAGCCCTACCAATTGTCAATGCATTACTCTCTAAGCTTCCGGGCGCGATTCCGTGGCTTTGGGATACTGCCGCCGGCAGACACCTAATTGGCAAACAAGCCTTAACCCCAAAAATGAAAGAGTTTTTGCAGCAATCTCCAAACCCAGTAGCTTTCAGGACAGGGGGGGTAGCCAGGCTGGTCAAGAGTCAATCGCTTTTGATGGCAGCAAAATCTTGGAAGGGGAAGAGGTTTATGTCTTGAAGGATTGCCCTCCGGCACAAAGTATTGGCAAGACGGTTTTGGATAAAGGCTACTTGTTCGTTTGGGATCCCCGAGAAAATGTTCCATATCTAATCGCACCTAAAAAACATCAATAGATGTAAGTTTAAGGCTCACTGCAATGCCAGGATTTGTGCTTCTCCTGTTGTTGAATACGTTCCCCAATATGATGAACAACTTAGTCCACGTAACTTCATACCAGCTGATAGGTTAACCCCAGTCTGCACAGCGCTTCCGGCAGATCCTGTCCCGGATGATGCTTCTGGGTATTCACCAAGTTTTGCCGGTGAAGATGTTGCAAGGTTGGCCGAAGTTGCCGAAGCCGATCCTCCGGGTGAAGAAGCTGCGCCCAGCAGCCCACATGCAGATGTTCCGGAAGGTGCTGCTCAACCTAGCGCGCCATCTCACCCTTTAGATGATAAAATGCTTGTTGAGTTAGGTGATGGTATCCCTATCAAAGATGAAGTCTTGAAAAAGGAAGCCACTAGCCAAGAGCATCTTTTGACTCACTATCCCAAGAATCCATATTGCCCATTATTCCACATCGCTAAGGATGCTGCAATGCGTGTTTCTCATGTCAAAGACGGTAAATCTGATGATAAGATTGACCCTCCAAAGCAGCCTTTTGAGCAATTGGCCACTGATGATGTTATCCTTGCAAAAGGGTCTAAGCATTTTGGGACAGGGATAGGTGGGGTTAAAACACACCATGTGGTTGGGGACCTTTACTCTGGTGCACGAATAGCATATCCCCTTTCAAAGCGAGATGTCGAGTCACATGCCAAAAAATTCCGACATTTCGTAGGATTAAAAGCCAATGAACTCGCAACCCACACACTTATAAAGATGGATGAAGCACAGGAATTGGAGCAGGCCGCTCACCAAGTTGGCTTCGTTCCTGGGACGTCCCTCCCCAACCGATGGCCGCACAACGCCCTGTTGGAGCGCGACATCAGGGAGGAGAAAGAGTGCTGTAGGGGTTCATTTACAATCTGGTTTGCCATTTGAATACCACACTTATAGTTACCCATACGCATGTCTTTCCATGACTTTGGATAGACCTTCTATTGCGGATCCCGAGAAGACCCTGTGGGAAGCTCTCACACGTGAAAAGTTTGATGGCAAGCGTTTGTGTTTTGGGCAGCTTGTGTGCTATCGCAAGAAGCTCCCACGAAGAGGGCCTTAGAGCCCAATATGGCTCCTGGCTTGTTTCTTGGTTGGCAAATCGGGTTTTCGATATAGATATGTTGTTCGAATTTTAGATTATCAAGAATACCGAACCAGAGGTGCTTCATGTGTTTCTGCCGTTCCCGAGCCTGAATTGTACCTTCCCGATGGTGATGCGTATTTCCCAGTTGGTTTTTCAAAGCACCAAGCCTTGATCAGGGGGGGATGATCCTGATGACATCAAACTCCCAGAAATAGCCCTGGAAAACGTGCCGTTCCCACTAGACGGCGGCATAGCTTCCCCATCTACTCCCGGTCCTAAACCTATAGATCGGTTTATATCACCTTAGACCGCATCATAAAGTTTAAGGAGACTCCCGGTTGTAAAGGGTGTGCTAATAAGACTCGATACCACACAACGGAGTGCCGTAAACGGTTCCAAAAATTAGTTGATGAAGAAAAGGGGCTGGAAGAAAAGTCAAAGTCCAAATCCGAGTCGGTAGTTGTTGAGCCTCCTAGCGAAGTTCATGAAGCGCTTGAGGATGCCCGCGTGGACCCACCACCGGTAGACAGCATCTTCGATGATGAAGGTGAAATCACAGTTGCTGTCCCTTATAGTGTTTCTGGTGCTGCCACTCTGCCCCAGACTTCTCGCAGTTGCGCTGAGTTATGTAGGGATTCCTTGCCGGTTTTTGGTGCACAGCCAGTGCCTACACGCCCTATGATTAATCAGCCCCCTAAAGGTAATAACAATCGTCGAAAACGACGTGCCATGAAAAAGAGCCTAAGGCCCAGTGAGAGATCAACACTGTTCGAGTTTGCATGCTCCCTCAACTCGCAACTGGGGTTGACAAGTGTTCAATGCAATATAAATCACATTGGGTTAAGCAAGGAGAGGATAGACCTAGGTGATGGATCAATGTTCCCAACTTGATTACCAAATAGGGGAAGCAGCCAAGACTGCCCCTCCTCACCTTTGGTCGTCCATACCATGTACTTCTGGTTCTCCATGGCAGTACATCAACAGAAAGAAGGGAGGGGCTGCTTTCATGAAACGCCTAGCGCTCCAACTTCGAGAATCGACACGACTTTTCAAAAGCTTCACAAAAAGGGCTGAATCAGTTTTAAGCTTAGGAGGCACCGTTTCTTTTGAATGGCCACGTCCCTGGACTGGCTGGAAGAGACCAGATGTCGTAGCTTGCTTTAATTCACACCTGGAGTTTATGGATGTCGAGTTCGATGGATGCGCAGTGGGTCTTAGACCCAAGAAGGGTGTTCCCATCAAAAAGCCCTGGCATGTCCGTACAACCTCCCAAAGAATAGTAGATGCGTTTAAGGATAAAGTATGTAGTTGTGATCACACTCACGAGAGATGTGAGGGTGCTGAGACGGCGCGGTCAGCTATGTATCCCCCAGAGATGACATTTTTGATTACCCAAGCGCTGTATCTCGCTAACTGCGCACAACAACATGCACCTGCCATGCCCTGTCAACCCCTATCTAGTGAACCCCAGGAGCATAGAGAGGTAGAACAACATCTTAAGCACGTGTCGCCACTTTCAGGTTTTGAGTCTGACCGACAGTTAACAACCTTGTGGCAGAGCCTTTGGACCATGACCACCTCCTAGCACAAGCCCTTGAGCACGAAGGCGAACATCGACCCTCACAGGAAGTGCAGGCTACGGTCACCAAATTACTCCCACGGGCAGGAATGTTGTCTAACCCCAAAGCCTCCCTAGATTCCGTCCGGGAAAAGGAGGACGTCAGGGCTGAGGCTAAACGCACCGGTGTCTCTGTCCATTTTGGCCAGCTGATGACAATTGCTTCGATTAAATTCTTGGAACTGGCGCAGCACCTCCAAAAGATGAAAGGTAGGATAGTCTACCGAGGTGACTGTGCCAAGGATGAGTACGAACCTGCTGCTGTTTGTCAGGAACTAGGTGCTAACCCCACCTCAGTTCAAGGCTCAAATGCATGTTTAGCATACGGTTCGGTGCCAGGCCATATAGTTCATCTGCAGCCGATGCAGTTAAGGCATAGGTTCAAGCACTCCTATCTTCAAAATATAAGACGTGGATAGAACTTCCGCCTGAACTAAGACCCAAATATTGGCATGATAAGTTTGTTAAACCTGTAGTCCTTTTGGTAAAAGCGTTTTATGGGCATCCCGACGCCGGTGGTCTCTGGGAGCAACACCTTAAGAAAATTATCCGCAACTTAGGTGGCCAAGAGGTACCCGAGTACCCGGACAACTTTTTCTTCCCAGATACAAAGTTATTGTTGTCCACCTATGTTGACGATCTAACTCTAGCTGGACCCACCAAACAGCATGAGCCGTTTTGGACCAAATTGACTTCGGTCGTCGATGTAGAACCAATATATCGTATTTTGGGTCGCAATCATGTAGTCATGCCATTGACCAAAACTGAGGGTTCCGAGGAATGTGCTGCGTTTCGCGCACAAGATGCTTTAGTTTTTGATATGCTTGACTATGCCCACCAAACAGTAGACCTTTATAAGTCCATCACCAACACTAAAAGTTTGAAGCACGCAGCCACACCCTTTGTCCCTGATGGCTCCGTCTCGATTGACGATGAAGAAGCAAAAGGTGAGCTGGCTCCCAACGCGTGCCACATTCTTATGAAGGCGTTGTGGCTTGGTCGACTGTCCCGACCTGACATAATCAAACCCATTAACGATTTAGCCACTAAAGTACGGTCTTGGTCCAGGGGGGACGATAAAAGGTCGTTGAGATTAATCCAATACATAGACTCTACACCGCACTACCGGCTTGTAGGAACCATTCAGGACAGCCCCGAAGCTCGTTCATGAGGATAACCAAGCTACCATTCTGGTAGTACGTAAAGGGTATTCCCCAAAACTTAGGCACATAACTCGTACCCATAAAGTGAATTTATCCGGTCTCTCAGAAGTATTCCACGATGACTCTGCCGAGTTGGAGTACTGTAAGACAGATGATCAGGCCACTGATATCTTCACAAAGGCACTGCCGCCCCAAAAGTGGGCTCCAGCGCTCCGCCTTGTAGGCAAGGGCACCGACCTAAGTAGTGAACTCCGAACCAAGGAAGGGGCAGCGGCCACGCGCCCTAAGTAGCTTGGCAGGTAGGGTACGGGGGAGTAGAAATATTACGACCCCATTACCCCCACTGTATAGTCTACTTATAGCGCACTACATACTGTAGCTATGATTCCAACTTCCCAATAGTGTTGTACAGTGAATATACCCAAATGCAACCTATAGCTAATCGCAATAGCTGTAAGTAGAGCCTGTAGTCTAGGCAGGAAGTAATATCCTGTATCCACCTGGGTCGGAGTCTACAGTAGCCTTCCGACGTTACATGGCTCAAGCGCCCAAGTCAAAAGGGCGTTTGCTGATTGTTGATGTTGAGGAGTTCAACTTGGTTGTTTTCTGGTTGTTCCCTCCTTTCTCTAACAATCATTATAATCATTGCATTTTGCATGTCGCGCCAAGTTCGTGAATGTGAGGGTGTGTGAGGGCGTGTTCTCCGGTGCTTCGAGAGTGCCCTTGCCGAATCTGAATTTGATGTAGTGAAACTGTTGGTGCGCTTTGCTGCAGCCGTGCCAATCCGCATCCACTAAACAGATCAGAACAGATCAGATAGAAACCTCGTCCAGCTTGCTGTATTACTTTGTCTGGGCGCACACTTGTGTGCAGGAGGGCCGCGATGTCATCAGCTTAGCTCTGTTTCTTCTGTTCGAAGAAGCGCCTCAGCCGCGCACGCGATTTTTTCATGATTGAGGCAAGCAAACCAAGGGCCATGTCACTCAGACCGACATCCGAGGCAGAGAAGAGTAATAAGAGCCTGAATTGATGAAACCAAGAGCAGACATTGCCAACACTTGATGATCAATGATGATTCAAACATAGCAATGTCGATGATTAATCTGGGTGATCCTACAGGCGACTTCGTTACTTTAAGTCCAGAATTATGTGTTTTTATTTACGCCTTCTTTAAACCTATAACGGCACCAACAGAATTGGTATCACAAGCTGTGCCCCAGGTTGAATTTCCGCACTTCACAGCAACAAACAAATTTTTGCCACCCGATTTCTCTTTGTGTCAGGACAACGCGGATGTTTGGATCTTTTCATTAAAACTTCGCCCACCTCTGTTGGGGTTTGGAATTTGTGCAATCCAAACACAAAGACGTGGAGACCAGTTGCCTCTGCAACCCCCATACATCAAGTTTCCAAACTTGTTATTCTGAGTTGCTGCCAAAGCATGACAGATTTACACATTGCAACATCGATGGCCTTCTCAGCGTTTCAGACAATGACAGGTCACGGTCAAAGCAAGCAAGACGAGGGCCATGTCACTCAGAGAGACATCCACCAAGGCGGAACAAACAGTGCCAACAGAATGTGTCTCTTGTATTGGTGAGACTAGCAAAGCATTGCAAATACTGGCTGTAGTAATGTGATCTTATGTGATGCTATCGGCGATTAGGTTCCTTTACGATTTCAAGTCCAAAACCTTTTGGTTTGTTTATTAATCCCTTCTTTGAACTTACCATCCTTTTTTATTTTGATCAGATAGAAACCTCGTCCAGTTTGCTGTATTATTTTGTTTGGGTGCACACTTGTGTGCAGGAGGGCCGCGATGTCATCAGCTTAGCTCTGTTTCTTCTGTTCGAAGAAGCGCCTCAGCCGCACACGCGATTTTTTCATGATTGAGGCAAGCAAGCCAAGGGCCATGTCACCCAGACCGACATCCGAGGCAGAGAAGAGTAATAAGAGCCTGAATTGATGAAACCAAGAGCAGACATGCCAACACTTGATGATCAATGATGATTCAAACATAGCAATATCGATGATTAATCTGGGTGATCCTACAGGCGACTTCGTTACTTTAAGTCCAGAATTATCTGTTTTTATTTACGCCTTCTTTAAACCTAAGCGGCACCAACAGAATTGGTATCACAAGCTGTGCCCCAGGTTGAATTTCCGCACTTCACAGCAACAAACAAATCTTTGCCACCCGATTTCTCTTTGTGTCAGGACAATGCGGATGTTTGGATCTTAGTGTAAGATTCAGTGCAAGGGAAAATGGAACTGGCAAAGAGTTCCAGAAGGTTTCATTAAAACTTCGCCCACCTCTGTTGGGGTTTGGAATCTGTGCAATCCAAACACAAAGATGTGGAGACCAGTTGCCTCTGCAACCCCCATATACCAAGTGCTGGGGCGTCAGGGTCTTCCTTCCAGCTGCCTGCAGCTGCCCGAAGTGTCAAGGCCGAATTTCCACCACCATGTCGAAGGGTTCATGACATGTTAAAGGTTTGGAGGTGTCCACAAATGGAGGTCCCCCAAAATCGATAGTTTTTAATTAACAATCCTATTCAAATGGATGGTTTGGGGGTAGCCCCATTTTAGGAATCCTCCATATATGAAGTTGTTCAAAAGACCCTAAAAGTGAAACAGGGTGCACCAAGATGGGTTTCAGCAAAGATCTGTAAGTGTTATTCTTGAAAAGAATGGCGGACAGACTTTTTCTGTACGGACCAAAGGACTCAGCGAACTCAGAGGCTTGGTCTTTTGATGTTGAAAGACAATTGCAGTTTAGCTTATTCAAGTTTGGCGAGTTGGGTCCAGCAGTCGTTTCACTGGAAAGGTCTGGCCGATCAACCAGTACAAGGGAATCCTTGGCAGCACTTTTGTGATCTCAAATATATATATATATATCCAAACATAGGGTAAATCCATGTAAAGCATGGCTTGTTTTACAAACTGTTTATAAAGAACAATAGTGATCGAATATGGGACTTTAATGGATTTTGGTGGGTCCCATTTGGGTAAACCCTTTTGTCAACGTGTTCTCGAAATTTGGCCTTAAACATCCAGAAAGCGCCGTGGTGTTCTAAGGAACCCAGTGATTCGAAGAAGTCCACTGGATCAGTGAGCACTACCGTAAGAGACGACCACAGTAGAGGCACCAGCAACTTCACACGGCGCCTGTCTTTTGTTGATTGCTCGACAGTTGCTCGGCGTTGGGGGCCCTTTTGGGCCACAGAAGCCACTGAAATTGGGTGATTGACCTCCAAATTTTGGGCCGCCGTTTTGAAGGGAACATGGTGACAAACCATCAAATTGGGGGGTAGTATTGTCGGACACGCCGTAATACATTGTGTGTTAACGAAGGGAAACAGATCTGCAAGATCCTGGAATTGTATGGAATTGTTTCTTGCCACGCTTCGATTGATGACAAGGAAGACCTTGATCAGCATTTCCGGGAAGAATTTGGAGGTGTGACTCGCAACATTCTTACGACTTTTTGTGGTCAAAGAAACGTGACCATTGCAATCAAGACCCACAATTTGCTGAGTGTTTCTCTTCAATCTCTGATTCAAAATCTGATTTGGGGTGTCGGCTTTTGACTTTGTCCAAAATGTGGTTTTCAGATTTCTAGACGCTTGGGCACCAATCTTTCCGCCAATGAGTTTTTACTGTATTGGTGGACAGAGTGTCAAGCAAGCTACACAGGCTGGAGTTTGTGGTTGCATTCCTTGCAGGTGCTGATTGGTTTAAAAACTTCTGGCATGGTGTGCTCGTGCAGCAGCCCGCATGTCGAGCACTATCTAATCGATCCCTGACCAACTGGGTGATGATTTATACCAACTGGAAGGCGCGAGACTGAAAGGTTCCCTGAAGACTCACTTTAGAGGCGACTTCAATACGTTACGTTTCAGACACTCTGAGGATATGAGAGAGTGAAATACGTGCGCCGATTGACGCCTTTGCTTCATGCTCCAGCTTCCACTTCTTTGATACATGTTGACACTATGTTTCCAGCAACACCGTGAGCTTGAACACTCCATGTTTGCTCATGGCTTGCAGCGTTTGCACACCAAGCGATCCGGAGGTTGCAGCGAAGTGGAATGGCCAACCACCTGAGTCTATGTTGCTCTGCTTGGGGACATTTGGGGACTGGATGTCCACTTTTCGCGAAAGGTAGCCTCCTAGCGGGCTACCTTGAGTTTTACTTTGCGAAGCAAAGGGGCGGGCTGGACCCCTTATCCTTGAACGACCAGGAGAAAGGGACCCCCCCCTCCCCCCCCCCTCAAAGGGAACTCTCGCCATATGCCTGGCGAGTCTCTTCACGCAGCAGCCCCTTCGCAGTGTCTCGTCATCATCACCATCATCATCAACAACATCATCATCATCATCATCATCCTCCTCCTCCTCATCACCATCATCATTCGACTTGACATTCGGATTTTTCGACATCCGTTTTCCAAGTACCCAACGGTGCGATGAAAGTGACAGGTTCGAGCATCCATAGGTACCGCAAAAAGAGACACTGGAGTTTGTGCTAACACTGACCGTGTTTTTTTCCCCCGCACGATGCGTGTGTCTGACAATGTATACCTCCAAATGGCTATTTAAATGGACTAAGTGATGAGCAACCATGGACATCGTGGGGTGCTCTCTTTTTGGATCCAGATATCTCCGCTCTGCTCTGAATGGCAATCGTGGGGTGCCCTCTTTTCGGATCCAAAAAATCTCCGTTCAGCTATGAATGTCCAGTTTCATGCCCGTCCACGGTTCATGAACCACCCAAGCTGGAGTCACATCACAACGACAATCAGAGTTATAACGTCTGACACAACTACCTTTCGTGTCACCCCTTCTCAAGTAAGGTTGCCACTTTGTTGAACAGCTCGAAGCCTCCACACTTCACACCTAGGAACACCTATGAGCTTCAAGACTGGTTGTCAGCTCCGCTAGCGCGTGTGCTTGAGCTGGTGAAAGTCTTTGATCCAACAGGTTGGATCGGAAGGATCAGGAGGGGACTCTAGGCCTTGATATTCAAAATGTCTTCAAATGTCTTCAAAAATTCATAAAAATTCGAAAGACTTCAGAGTCTCAGAGGCATTGAAAGCACCGCTTTTATCAAAACAATCGAAGAGACAGCTAGAGAATGCTAGAGATAGAAGGGAACAGACTAAGACGATCAAAAGATATCTTGTGATTCTTGGTGGTCTTTGAATCATGCCTTTTGCCTCGTGTGAAGCAAATGTGCCTACGTTGTAGAATTTCGTATCTCTCAAGCTTGGACCCACCAAAATCTACCGCTTGCCGCTTGCCTTTTGGTTTAAGAGGGGCCAGAGTTGATAAATAGTGTGGGATGCTGGAGGGTCCAAAGAAATAAATAGATCTATTATGATCTACTGGTCTTTGGATCGTGACATCTCCTGAGCGATTTCTGTGTTCCAGGCTTTGCAAAGGTCAACATCACCAAGGCGACCCAGGATCACCACAGAGTCCGTGTGGCAGTTATACCGCTTCTTGCAGCTTGCAGCTTGTCGTGCAAGGGTATTACCTGATATTACCCGATGATAGCCAACGGACATCAACAGACCTTGAGTTTGAAAATTTGTTTTCGTCGGAGCAAGAGAGATACGCTTCCAGAAGGATCACAAAGAGCTGCCGAACATGTTGTTTCGTGAACATTCGAAGAATTCGTGAAAAGATATTTTGCAATGAAGTTGGCTTACAGTGAATCTCATTGAATCTAAACTGGAGCCGGAGACCTTGTTTGTATTTGTATGTATTTGGGCATTTGGGCCTTGACTAAGGCTTGATTTTGTCCCAGACGCTGACAACAAGGCAAAAGGTCGACTTCCTTTTTCGAATCTTTGCGTCAGACAACAAGAATTCATTGTTGCTTGTTCGCATCGGTAGTGCTGCCTTGACAATTACAGTACGGGTTAATAGGTTGATGTCACTACAGATATACAGCTGCTATCATCTATTGTATTATAAATGTGATGCATCATGTTGTGTCATGATGTTCTGTTTACGTAATATACGTATGATATCGTATGATTACGTATGTATATCCATATGATACAGTAAACATATTTATAACTATAAATTATAATGATACCATACACTATATGTTGTGTAGTCCGATGTATTTTGTATCAGATATGATATTGTATTACACATCTTGACATTTGGGAGGGCTTTTAAATGCTTTTAAGCAGAGTACTTTGTTTTCTCACTTTAGATAGAGCTCGAGGTAGACATGTCTCAGGTCGATTCACGAATTTGCAGCGCTGTGGGTGAATCTCTTCCGTGCTCTGGGCTGTGCCTTTGGTGTCCGGGAGATCCCACAGCCACGATGCGTGGCCGTTGTTGCTTGGCACAGGATGAGGATGCCGAAGAGTTGTGGAATGCCATGGAATTCCTAAATCATACAGCATCCTAAGGGATCCCAAATTGGTCCTAAATCTATTTACTTGTCATTCCTTGCCATTCACGCTTTGCTGCATTTGCTGTGCTTCCAGTCCTCAGGCTGCAAGGAAGGTCTTTGACCAGCTTGAAACAGATGACAGGCTTCCGACACTTAGCTGCATTGTCTGAAACTGCCTTGCACGCCTTTGCGCAACATGCTATACTAATTAATTAAATTATGATTACCATTCTCTGTTTTTTTCTCAGACTTGATCTGATTCAGTTGTCGCACAGAGTGGCTCTGATTCACTTGTTTCGAACAGTTTTGGTTGCAGTATTGGCGGGGCACATTCTTTTGCCAGGAAAAAAAATCTGGAAGACTTCCTATCCGGCAAGCTAATGGATCCTATCGGGGTGCCGTTTTCCCTGGTGATGCAGCGCTTCTCTGTTGACGCCAACCTTATTGATCCAGACAGCTACGTCGACGAGAGCAAGAGGTTCAGACTTTCACACAACGAGCCACATGGGCATCCACTCGAAGCATACAATCTGCAGGATGGCGATTATCTGACTCGGATGGAAGTTGTGGTTTCCAGAGATGTATTTCAGCACCTTGCCCAAAATATTGGACTTGAATACGGAGCGGATTTCCGCTTTCAGCATTTTCATGTCGCTTGAAGCGGTGTGAGGACCAGCAATGCCCAACCGTTGTCAACGTGTTGCTGTATCTGGTTTTCAGCTGCTGCAACCTGCTAATGTTACAGTCGCCCAGGTTCTGCAGATCCATTGGAGATTTTGAGCTGTCTCATTCCGATGCTGAAAAAGTGATCGGGAAGCCCATTCCTGTGAACATGTGGTGCAGTCGTATGTCTCGAGCGTTGGAGGAAGTTTGTGGACACGAAGGTTCCAGCGTTTCTCGGTTGACCGGCATCTAAAAAGCATTGGTGCCCTTGTATCCGTGGCTATCCCAGCGTGGTTTTGGCACTTCAGGTGTTGACATGTCATGTTTGGGTTTAAACTTGAAACACTTCAATAAATTTCATGGTGTAGATAGGAGAGGAAAATGATGGAAAATGAATGTTTCCGTGGTGGTCTAAGTGGTGCAGCACCGCAAGAAGAGCAATGTTTGAGTCCCATAGTGCTCCTTCCAGTACCCTGGCCAGAGCTGATACAATGCTGATGCACCTGAGTCTGGTACAGGGTGTTGAGAGATCTTCCAAGGCTGGTCATGATTTAAGCACGTTTCTGAAGAAGCTTTGCTGCTTGGCCTTGAATTCGTGCTTTGCAATGACTGTTCTGGTACCCTCGGGTGTCATCAAACACGGCTTGCTGGAGAATCCCCCTATGATCCCCTATGTAATGTAATTCAATTTGGGGATTTCTCATTGCCGGATGCTTAATGCCATTGAAGGGTATCCTCGTTCCGAATGTGACCCCACGAGCGCTGGATCCCGCTTTGCAAAGCCTCAAGGCCCAAGAGCCACAGCAACACACTTGCAGATGTTCAAGTGCTGGCTCCAGGATTGGGTTGTAACTTGGGGCCAGATGAAGTAATATGAACATATATGAACATCACATACATGTCGTAATATTGGTGTACATATGTGTCTTATTTTTATGGAAGTCATTGGAAGAAATTATATGTTATATAAGTTATTGGAGAGTTCTCTCAGGAGTACGATCAACTTCAAAAGCAGAAGGTGGCTCTGGAGAGGACATCAAAAACACGAAGACGTTGCGCTCAGGGCAGCAAATGACTTCAAGCAGTTTTTCCGCCATGAGGGCCATGGATGTCCCAAATTGCCAGTGTTTCTTTTGATTATATATAATAGAGGGGTCTCCCATATGAGAATAAGTAGGCAAATGATTCAAATGACCATACCTGGTATACCACACCGACACCTCTATTTCTTCCAAAAGGACATTATTGCTTTCCGCTATTAAAATGCCTCCCGAAGGAGCAAAGAGGTATTGGCTGAGCTCTACAATTACATGGTACAGCCAGTCATGACAGAGCGCGTGAAGCAGGGGCTTATTTCTAGCCTCTTGGATTTGGGCATTTCAGTGATGTGTTTTAAGCACAAAAACCTTGCCAAAGTAGCTTCGGTGAATCATGATTGCGCCTCTAAAATTGCCATTATACATGGGTTATCATGGTAAGTTTATCCATTGTTTTTTCATATGAATCCCCTAGTTTGAGACAGACCCCGGCCCAGGTTTTCATGCGGTCGACAGGATGGGGAGCGGATTCAAACTCCTTTGGGTGACCCCCCTTTTTACGAGGCTTTAAGGGCAGCAACCAAGATATCCATAGATATCCAGGATATGCATCTATGGTTGGGGGGTTCACCATGGTTCCAGATACCTGTGGTAGCAGAGGCAAAATGGGCGAATTAGGTTGCTAGATGTTGCTAGGCTACAATGAGTAGATTTGATCTGTACATATCTGTACCATCTTCGGTTAAGAGGATCACGAATCCCGCATGCATTTTGGATGGGCTTCAGTCACCCGTGATGTGTTTTGATGCTGTTGCGGAAGGAGCGATGATGGCCGTGTGAATACTTTGGACCTCCAAACCACCATGGTGACTCGCCACGAGCATTTGATATGTCTTTCCTTTTGATACGTCGCAACAATATCTGGGAGAGCGTAATCAACCAGAAGCTTCTTCAGCTCACTGATTTCGAGACCTCCAAGAACACAGTTGCGAACAATGACTGGAGTGGTGTTGCAGGTGTTGAAAAAGTGTTTTCCAAAGTTCACTTTTCTTAAGTAGAGAGAATGCAAGAAACCAGTGTAACCGCAAAAATTTGTTGCTACTTACTGTAACATATGCTTGGTGTCAAGCAAAAATCAACGGGTCTTCAGGAAGTCGAAAAAGACACTGCGAAGTCCATGATGAAGTATTTCGACACAAACGGCCGAAGCCCCAGGGGCCCCAGACATTTCCCTTGACACGAAAGGGATGGGATCAGGCCAGGATTTCTGGTAATGACTAACAGTTTGCTATTGAAAATATTCACCCCGCTTCGCGTGGGGTGGCCGCCCACACCGCAGGTTTATTTCGGTCCGTGAGAGGGGCTAAGGGTGGTTTTCCCCCGTGGGGGCTCTTCAAGCTAAGAAGTTTCAATAAGAAATCCTTCCAAAACATTGTTTTTGACAGTGTTTTTCCAATGTTTCCAGTCAAACAGACGGTAATTTACACGTTTTTTGCCATAAAGGCAGTAAATCCTTCCAAAACATTGCTTTTGACAGTGTTTTTGTAATGTTTCCAGTCAAGCATACGGTAATTTACACGTTTTTTGCTATAACGTCAGTCCAAAACACTTGTTTTTGCAGTGTTTTCAATGCTCTGGCATCCAAAAACCCTGCAAAATCTTGCTATGTACAATGTTTTTTTCATTTTTGGCCGTTTTTCCATTGCCGGAAAGCTACCAAAATGACCCAAAATTCCATTTCAATACCCTCTTGCGCTCAGACACCCAAAAATCCTCGAAAAATGTCGAAAACACCACCGTATTCTGGTCTCGGTGCGAAACCGTTTTTGGGGTCTGGTCTCGGTGCGAAACCGTTTTTGGCCCCCCCCCCCAGCTAAAGCTGATATAGCGACTGCTATATTAACAAATGTCATTGAGCATTTAGTGTTGCTGTTGCCCCCCAATAAGCACGCCTTCACCGCCAAAGCGGTGTGGGCGGATTTGAAAATGGCCCATTTAGTTCGTTGATTTACCTATTAAAGATTGTGATTTTCCATAGCTATGTTAGTTTACCAGAGGGTAGATCAAGTGTGTTTGGATAGGTTGGCTCTTTGGCCGATCTTCAGCGATCTATCCTGTGATTGTCCTGTCACGGCGACCAGCTCGATGATGACGACGACAACGATGGTGATGACAGGTGAGCAGTGTTCAAAACCCCCGTTGGATAATAAATATATGGGATTACACAGCACTACCTAATATAATGGGGATTGTCATCATCCATTGTGGGAATACCTATTGACCCCCAGGTATAGTGGAATGAGAGAAGGTTTTGGACCCTGCTCATGTGATGACGATGGCCAAAACAATGACAACAATTACCACAGCGGCACCACTGACAACTGACAATCATGACGATGGCGACAGCGACAGCGACAGCAACAGCCCAACAACGGCGACGGCGACGACGACCACCACCGCCACAACAATAGCAGCAGCAGCAGCAGCAACAACAACAACAACAGCAACGAAAACAAGCAGAAGAAGAAGAAGAAGAACAAAAACAAGGCCAAGAGCAAGAGCAAGAAGAAGAAGAACAAGAAGAAGAAGAACAAGAAGAAGGAGGAGGAGGAGAAGAAGAAGAAGAAGAACAAGGCCAAGAGCAAGAGCAAGAAGAAGAAGAAGGAGAAGAATAGCAAAAACAAAGACAAGAAAGAACAAACACCAAACACATAAAACAAGCACAGAAGAACGGACGACAACAAGGACGAGAACGGGGGCAACGAAAAGGACGACGACAAGAACGACGAAAGTCAACAAGGACGATGACAAGCACAGCAAGATCGCATCGAGAAGGACTGTAAGGACAATAACGAAAATACTAAACGAACAAATTTAGGAATTCAGGACAAACATAACAACCCCACGCATGCTGAGTATATACAGCACGTCGTATATTGAGAGGCACAAGGCAAAAGTCGCAATCGGTTTCATTTGGGCTGCCTAGGCGATGGCTTTGTTGACATCGAAGAATACATTGCCGCTGGACCAAATTTGGCAAGACCACCTGTCCATCCCTTTTCCATGTGCAATGTACTGCCACAGATTTCTTTACCATCTTGCAAAACTGAGCCGCTGAGCTAGACACTTAACAGGGATCAGCAAGGTACATTCTTTGGATTTCTTGATCAGCTCCCTGATTGCCTTTGATCTCAAGGCTGCCATGTGTCCTGAAGGGCAGCGCTTGCCGCCAAAGGTTCAGGACTGGCCAAGAAGATACTCAGGGGACTCCCAGGGGCAGATTGTGACGCTTTTGCATTGCTTTTGTGGGGTTTGATTCTTCTGTCACAGAGGACCGCATTTTCGACTTGCTTCTCTCAGCAGAGGCACATATGCTTATTGAACGCTTTCATGAGCCTTCTTGGTTATCATTGTTTTTTGGGTTTGTTGACGGCCGTCTGCCGCGACTTTAACAAACATGTTCTGAGCACCAGCCTTGACAGGTTGAGAGGCAAGAAAAAATAGTGACTGAACAGGATGCGCTGTTCAAACATCCCACAGAACTTGGCATGCACAAAGACCGGCGTTAGGGCGAATGGGGTTTTCCAGAGATGTGGGTTTGATTTTAGATGTTATAATTATACTTACTGCTGGATCAGTTCAGGCCAGAATGTTTGAAGTCTAATCCAGAATGACTCAGGAGCACAAGGCAACACATTGCTTGAAAGCAAGATTATTCCTACGAAAGCAGGTGCCTTGTCTTGTCCCGTGTTGTTAACCGCCACAACATGCCACCGGTGTCCACGGTGCGGCCACGGCGATAGATGGGCAGTATGACCATGACCGCTGCAAGGTGCCGGATATGGTGTGGGAGGACTGGATTGCAGCATGGGAAGCATTAGACGTGACAAAGCTTGGATACTTGACTCGTGCCCAATTCAGAGAAACGAGGCGAGGCTTGATATGAAGTCATGAGTGATGCACTTTACAGTGGCATATCAAGTCTTGGACTTCAGGACTTTGAACATGTACTGACGTTCTCGATCGGGTTTGTTTGTTGGACTTTTCATGACCTTGCGAGAGTTGTGTGAACCATTAGGAAATGTAGGAAAAAACAGCAATCGAAAATGCAATTGCAAGAGTTGACAGACATTGACAGAGTGCATTGGGCAAGTTCAGGGCGATGCGAATGGACGTTAGTGAGTTTCTGTTCAAGCCTCGGTACGTGTGTGTGTGTGCGACATGGCTGTCGCCTGACCCTGTGTCCAAGGTTTGACCTGATTGCTGGAAGCAGTGAGGCTGACAGCATTTCCAAGGAGCAGTTCCTAAATAAACTGTTTCGCCCTCAGGTTGCTGTGGCCCCACTGGCTTTCCTTTGTGGACTCAACATTCAACATTAAGGTTGGACGCTGCTGGTTTCCGGCCACGCAGTGGCTTTCCTCCTGTGGCATAGTGCAATGGAGAAATCAGACACTCCATCTCAGAAGCTGCATCTTCACGCAAAGTTCGGTTGGCTTGGGTGTTTCCCTGTGTAACATGTGTCGTCCAGAAGGTACTTTGCAGTGAAGTCCATCAGATTGCAGTTCTTGATCCGGTTTGATGCTTTCGACCCCGTGCGAAGGTTTAGACAGATTTTTGCTTGGAGTTGTGACTCTCATGGCAAATATGGCAACACACGTGGGCAAAACATGGCAAGACTTTGAAATTTATTCGGCCTTCCAGAGCCACCAAGATGATCCAAGATGCATCGTGTCTTGCCGCAGTCATTTGCACTTTCTGTAAGGTAGTGGAGAGTGAGTTCACACCCGACAGGAATCGGAAGATTTGCACAAGTCCACTTGGAACCAAGAAGCTCCCAATGGATCTGTGACAAGTTGGGACATGGTGTTTGAATTGCCAGACATCAGGGCAACTGAATTGA